CTTTAAATTAACACCAACATGGTAGAAGATCAAAAAAACGACCATTTGTGGAAAAACGTCCTTAAAAAAAGGACTACGAGGGTAATACTTGATAACAAAAGATTAAATATGGTAACTCCTGTGATAACCAATTATGGAATTCAGACTTATAAAACTACTCCGTATAATCGACAGCGATCCAAAAGACGGGTTCAGTCGGACGGATTAGTTCTTTTGATCTTCTCTACAGAAACGGGACGGAAACATTACCCTTGACGGCGGCGACAACTCGACCGACCGATCTTGCGGCAGTGCAACTACATTTTAGCATCCAGGTGTGCATGCTTCTTCTCTTTTCGGATAATTGAATGTTTTATTATTTCGATTTTTTTCAGTTTCTTGTTTGAATAGATTGATTTTGTTTGGTGATGATTGATTATCCCATAAATAGCAAACAAACCCAGTTGGATCCCATCATTCCTATAATATAAAAAGTTTTTTCGATTCATTCTATTTAAATATAAATAGTTCTTCAAAACAAGAAGTGACAAAAATATTTTATTTTATTAAATAATTGATGAAAGTACCGGTGATTTTTAAATAGTGCAATGTAGCATTCTTTTTGGGACGGATGGAAGATAATTTTTCAAAAAAATTAATTGGAGTTATGGTTCCTAGAAAATGAATATTGAGTCATGAAAAACACAAAAAGAAAAGAAGACTTGAAGAGCTTACTTAATCTAAAAAGGAGTTGCCAAACCGGTTGAATGAACAAAAGAGAGCCTTAGGGGAATGCCGTTGGTGATTCAATGCGATGGGTTTACAAGAATGTTTAGGTGAAATGTTCATGAAGGAAAGAATTGATATAGTTAAAGGCTTTTGTTATTAAAAGGAAAGGTTGAAAGGACATTGAGAAATGAATTGTGAAATGGAAGACATCGTGTCGAATTACCAAGTGGTCAAGTGTGTGAGTGAGTTTAATAGCGATCTCAAGGTTTAGTGCAAGTAATGATGTTTGCAAACGTTACGGTTTAGGCAAAAGCTGTTAAGTGATGAGCTAGCGGTCAAGTTTCAGGAATGACTGGAAGGTTAAGTTTGGTTAGCAGTTCTAATGTGAGTTCTTTGACTCTCTGCCCCTTTTAAATGTTTTGGGCTGGAATATACGCTAGTGGTAAAGATTTGGAAAGCATGCAGTTGTTATTTACTCATGTTGAATATATACATGCATGAATAGTTTTTTAACATGCCTTTTAATTGCTGCCAATATGTGTATTCACATCTATGTTATGTTTTGGCTTTTGGACACGAGTGCTTCGACCTGTGCCTGTGTATATGTCAATGTTTTCCAACTAAAAGTTTGGTTGCTGCGGTGACCTAGGTAAACATGTTATCGATAGGACTTGTAATGACATGAGTTTTGAATTCATTGCAGATGTATTTGATCAGTTTTTGCATTACAAAGTGGGGGCATTGTTATTGTTTTACGTACTGTGTGTGTGTGTGTGTCTCATAGTTAGGTGACATTACAAAGTGAAGAGTATGACGTTTGCATAATTGCTTATGTTTTTAGGTGATAGAATTTGAGGTTAAATAGATGGAGAGTAAATGTGTTGCCCTTGTTTACTTGGCTTCAAGATCAGTTTAGTTTGTTAACTATAAATTCCACATCGAGTATGCCCAAACCTAAATCAAGAGCAAATCTGATCTATTGTAGGATAACATACATGGAATCACTACTCTTCAACAGGCACAAATGAACATTGATTTTGTTTATTAGTGGTGCCTCTATAGGAAGCTTTGAATGTATATACAAGTCTACAATTCATACAAAATGGTCTTTGTATTTTAAACTAGCTACCACATTGCTTTGTTGCTAAAGGACACACTTTTCAATTTCAAACTTGTTAGAGAAACTGAAAATAAGGCAAACCTAGAAGATTTTGAGCCTTTTTTAATTGTATCCCCAAGTTAACATTTATTAGGAATACACTCAAGAATTTCTTAGCTTGTACAGCTTAATTATTATTATGCAATTATGTGTACTGATTTTTTTCTTTTCTTTTTGTGTCTAGATCAGAACACTTTTTTTTAGCTAAAGGTATTTAAGTTCTAAATACTCCGTATGAAAATATAGTCTTTGGCTAAAATCAAGGCAATATGGTTAGGCTTTAAAGCTAAGGGAGTTGTCACCGCTTTGAATTGTTTCTTTTAAGTGATTACTGGTAATTGCCTCTATTGTTTCCCTCTGGAAATTACCGGGTTGTTGTTTGCTAAAGTTCTCTGATGAAAAGGTTTTCTTGTGGGCATTGCTATCCTTTGATAGGCAAATTTTTAATCTGGAAGAGTTATTTTTTAGGAATATAATATACTGTTAATTATGTATTCTTGATAGACAACAAAAAGTTTATGCTTAATATATAAAGAGTTGTTAGTTCTTTAACAAATTCCATACAAGTATTAATATAAAGCTTAATGTCGAAATTAAATATCCTGGTTTTTAAAACTTACCTACTAATAGGAAAACCAAAGAACTACAAAAAATGCAGCCTGGTGACCTGAAGCAACAGTCACTGGGATATAGCAGTCTCCACGAAAGCTTCAGGAGCGGGACCGTAAGAAGCAGCGAGAGAGGGTGTCGCAGAGGCAGAGGCTACAGGAGTACGTGCACGGCGGGGAATCAAGGTAAACCCACCATTATTGTTTCCAAAACTAGAGTAAATGTTGTTTGTGTTATTTGAGCTGTCTTCTTTCTTCAATCCTACATGTTTTAAAGCTAATAGTCTCTGTTCTATCCTCAATCTTTACTTTTATGGAAAAGTTATCTCAACTAATTCTACCTTTGAGCAATCTTCCAAAAAAAATCTCACCTTTTTCTATATATATATATATATCAATCTTTAATAGAGTGTGTGAGGTTTGAATCGCCGTTAGGATCCTAACGATTAGCTAGTGTAAAACATCTTTAGATCACCGTTACGTAAGACTCATGTTTGTGTACGTTAAATTGATGTTGGTGTTAAATAGAGTTCTTAATTCAACACTTCAACAATCAATATCTTTATTTATAAGTAAATAATCCCGTGCTTTGCACAAATTCGATTAGACCATACACACAATAAGTGTTGATGCGACATAGACAATTACTACCTCTATTCCGAAAAAACTTTTTTCTTTTGATTTTTTTGATTAAAAAGTTCCATTTTTTATCACAAATTAAACATAATTTGAATTAACAAATATTACAAAAGTTGATATATTAAAATTATATGTTAAGATAAATTGAATTACATTGAATATATATTAAAATTAAATGAGGTCACGGTAACACAAAAAATTCCGGGGTTATCTATCTTTATTTCTTTTTAAAGGAATAAAAGTTTATTTTAAGACAAATCATAACAAAAATTGGGACAATTAATTTAGGACACATGTAGTAAGTGTTATTTCAAAGAATACTCAGTAGTTGGAATTGCTGGCCCCGATAATCAATTAACTATTACTCCCTCCGTCCCTAAAAAAAGTTCCTTTTTCGTTTTTTCTTTGTCCCTAAATAAACTTCTCTTTTCCCCTAAAAAAACCCCTTTTACCCCTTACTTTTTCATACCCTACCTATCACATCATACCTTTTTACTAATAATCTATCTATCACATCTTACTTTTACACATCACATCAAGGATATTTTTGGAAAGTCATTACTAAAATATCCCTCCCTTAATTTCTCCAAAAGTCAAAAACGGAACATTATTAAGGGACGGAGGGAGTACTATACATTAGTCAACACTAATGTACAAGGCTAAATATCCCTCCCTTATTTTTGGAGTACTATACATTAGTCAGGTACAAGGCTAAATTTCACTGTTAGTCCTTCAACTCAATGTATAATGCATGGTCAGTCTTTTAAAGTCCATGATTAGTCATTTAGGTCACGATAGCATTGCACAACTAGTCCTTCCGTTAACTTAACCATTACTCCATGTATTTTTTTTCTTTTTCATTATAAATACATGTGAGGAACCCTTTTTCTAAAAAAATTAAAGTATATTTCATGTAGTTCTTTTTTTAAATAGTAAGAACTTTTGTTAGTCCATTTCTTAATATTAATAAGTTACACATGCTTTTATTGGTGGAGTTTGTTTTAAATATTCAAAATCTGTCATGAAATGTGTATCAAAATTTTGGTTTTTCATAATAGTAGAGAGTAATTTTCTCAATATAATTTAATTGGAATTGTACACCAAAGATTTAACCCGGGTACTAACAGTGGCGGATCCACTAAGGAAGAGTAGGGGGCAAATGCCCCCAACTAATTTCTTGTGATAAGGTTAAAAATATTATTTTTTAAAATTTTATATACATATGCCCCCAACAAAAAATTAATGTGATCTTATCTAATTTGGTCAAATTTAAATTTTTTGTTTAATTTTTTTAGTAAAGAGTATTTTATTGTATAAAATTACTCCGTAATTGCTTATAAAATAAAATTTCACTTTACATATTAAAAAATATTTTACATTTAATAAATATTTGAAATAAGACTTGTTATTTTTTGTCATTTGAAATAGTTTATCAAAAAATGTAGCGACGCTTCTAGACTACCGATCAATGATGCCCCCATCTACTTCAATTTCTGGATCCGCCACTGGGTACTAAAGTGTTGTCAATTTTTAACTTTTTGTGATCAATTGTGATTAATCTTTGACACATAATTTCAATTAAAATTGTATTAAGAAAAATTACTTCGTAATAGTCACTTTGTTTTTATGAAAACTCAGAATTTTACCCATACGTATTTTAGGCGGAAGAGTATTTAAGAAATTTAGACCCACATGTATTTATAATGAAAAATTGAAAAAAAATACATGGATTAATGATGTAATTAACAAAAAGACTAACTATGCAACGCTAATACACTATCGTGATTATTTGTGAACTTTTTAAGGTTGCATTAACTTGAAGTTTAATAGTACTCCATAATCATTCAATAATCATCAATGCGGAACGGATAAAGATTATGGATCCACACTATCTGATGTTATTATTAGCAAGCCATAATAAAGTAGTTTCTATTTTTGATCAATAAAAACTGATGGAAGCACATACATGCATGCATATGATCCATGCAATTAAACTACTGCAATAATAATTATTAAGCATACCGATTGATTACCGAGTGAGTAATGATAATAATGAGAATAATAATACTCCGTCCAGTCGTCGTCGTCCTCTCATAAAGTCGATTAATTAAGAAGAAAAAAACAACACAGAACTGATGATGATGATAATTAATGATAATGACGATGATGTTGTTGTTGTGGCCGGGCAGTTAATTAATCATATCATCATCGTATTTCATTCATTTGGCGACACGATCCTTGATGACATCGATTCCCATCTCGGCAGGATCGGTGGCCTGGACTTCGTAGTGGATCCCATCGAGAGCCCTCCTCAGCCCTTCCTTGGAGGTGGCGTAGAGCATTTTGGCCCGGATCCTGGACTCCGCCGGGGCCCAGGCGATGAACAGTATCTTGCTCTTGCGGCAGTTGTCCACCGTGACGAAGTCGAAGTCGAAGAGGGCGTAGCGGCAGTCGTCCCTGGGGAGGGCGGCGGCCAGGTCGTCGTAGCTCTCCCCGGGACCCCCCACCTTGTCCACCGTGAGGGACAGGGACTTGTCGTCGGCGAACTTGAACACGATGTACCTGTGCACCTTCTTCCACTTCATCTCCATGAACGACTTCTTGCATTCCTCCGTCACCCACTTCCCCCCGCCCACCACTGCCTACATACATATATATGGCGAACGTTTACTTGAATAATGACTAATAGATTATGATTAATACTGCTATTTAGAGAAATTCTTTATGTTTTAGTGTTATTTAAATAAATTCTCCTATATGTATATATATGCCTACAAATTAAAACATACTCCGTTTATGTAATTACTTAGAGTCATGTTGGTTGGGGTAACACTAGGAATGATAATCGTCTATGAATTTGTAAACACACAGGCAATAATCATCGATGAACATACAAAGTTTATAGATGATTATCGTCTTGATGTGTATTGATTAATTCACAAAGGATTGTCATTCGTGATTTTCAATAGCATCATAGCATAGTTGTGGATGAGATTAAGAAGACAAGGTTGAATTTAATAATTAAGGGGGATGGGTAGGTAATAGAGTATGTATGTAATAAATATATAGAGTATATAAATATACCTTCTTGAAAGCATGGGCTGCCATGGAGATGGATGGAGACAGTAGTAGTAGAGCAAGCTAATAAGGGTATGGTAGACTATAGAGAGAGGAGATGATTATGTGTATCTCATCTGTTGTTGTGCGTCAACTAAAATGATCGATGATGAACGGGGCTATATTTATAGGGGATACGTATAGTAGTAGCATCATAATTACATGGGGTACGGTGGGAGTGGCTACTCTAATAATACACTATTAAACTTAAGTCATTTCTCTAAATAGCGCTTAAATTGTTTTATTCTCTAAATAGCACTTAATAATGTCCATAATGACCAGTGATGACAAATATTTACTTGAATAATGACTAATGGTTAATGACTAAAAGTGCTACATTGGAAAAAAAAACACATGTAGTGCTATTTAGGGAAAGTCATTATGTTTTAGTTCTATTTACATAAATTTCTTTACTCTTATTCTTACTTTCTCCATCCCACAAAAAATTTCTTTTTCTTTCATCATCGTGTCAAAAAATCTATTTATTTCTATTAAAAAGATACTTTTATCCTTATTAATTCTTAACCTATGACTTTTCATATCACAATTGTTCACTATTAATCTACCAATCACATTATACTTTTACTCATCACATCCAAGGACATTTTTTGGAAAGTTAACACCAACATACATTTTCCTTAAATTCTTTAAAATTCAAAATTAGAAAGGTTTTGTGTGACAAAAGAAATACTCTCTCCGTCCCTGAAAACTTTTCTCCTTTCTTTTTTCATCCGTTCCAAAAAATACTTCTCATTTCTATTAAAAAGTCACTTTTACCCCTTACTTTTTCATACCCTACCTATCACATCATACATTTTTACTAATAATCTATCCATCAAATCATACTTTTACCCATCACATCAAAGGACATTTTTGGAAATTCAATACTAAAATACACTCCCCTTAAATCTCTCTTCAAAATCAAAACTCCCATGTTTTCCGGGACGGAGGGAGTATATCTTTTTTTGTTTTGATTTTTGTGGTCAGTTTGTAAATATTGATCACAAATTATGAAAAAATACATTAGAAATCACCCTAAATAGCACTAAAACATAAATAAGAGTACCAAACTAAGACTTTCATGTTTTTTTTCCCGAAATAGGACTTTGCACTGTAGTAATGTGACTTTGCCCTGTTGTAATGTGGCAGCGTACATGTGCAAATTAGTATATTTTTTTGGTAATGTATATGACCATATATTGTAATGTAAGTCCAATTTCGGGAATAAAAACATAGAAGTCCTATTTTGATATATTTTCAATGTTTTAGTCCTACTTTGGTCTTTATTTCAAAATACATCCTATTATGTTATTAATTTAATATTAATAGATTTGTTTCGTAATGTAGTTTTGAAATATCATGATTTTATATTTAATATTTATATAACAGTAGACATATTAATGGTCGATTGATTTATTTTATTGGATATCGTAAAAAGTCAAAGAAGAAAAAAAAATATACGACAAAAAGAGAAACAAAAAAAACTAACAAACTCTAATATCATGACATTGCCGTTCACCTCATTCTTTGCGCAAACAAACAATAGTTTTCCTCTATGCATGTTTGTACAACTCTCATCTATAATAATTGAGTCATGCTAGGGGTAAACCAAAATGTAGTATCTCATTAGTACACCAGACAAACACGTACATATACTTAGTGTTTGTGATCACAATTCACAAACACTAAGTATTTGTGTTTGCCTGGTGTGCAAATGGGTATCCATTTTGGTGTACGCCTAGGTTTATTCATAATAATTTGGTGGGGTGCTAAAAAACTGTCAATTTATTTTTCAGTTATATTCACCTCATTATTTTTGAATAGTATTTTATTTATCATTTGTGAAAATAAAATAATCATGTAAAATTTTAATTAAAAAACAATCATTTTTACATAGAAAATAAAATTGGCAAACGGGGTAGAGTTTTTTAAATATGTTATTTAAAAAACTAGATTATATATTAATATTTTGAATCAATGTAATTAAAAATAAATTTAATCAAATATCAAGAAATCATGAGAAGAAGCAATATAATGCATTCCTTATGCCCTGTCTAAATCTTCGAGCCCACTCAAGAACATTTCTAATGTATGGTACACCTGTACATTATTTGATATATGTATTTACATTTCTTGTACTATTGATAGAGACCTGTATGTTTGTGGCCAACCCCATGATCATGAGTTCATGACATGGACTCTATCCAAAACAAACTAGGGGACAAACGCATAGGACGAATGACTTGTACAAATCTCTCCTCCGCTTTAGAGGAGGAACATCACAATCTCACTAATTAAGCAATAAAACACTCGTAACGCACTTCTGCAATCTAGGAGCACTCTGCTCGTTCGAACTACTCTCCTTAGGCTACTCTAGGCCCGGGTTCGAAAACCCATTAGTAGTATTCTAGTTTACTTTTTCACGAAATGTACGACTGATGTAAAATTTTTGGTTGTTATTTATATTGGAGTAAAGATAATAAGAATCAGAAAAAAATTATTACATCCTTCGTCCCAAAAAGACATATAAAATTCATGGAAAAGTTCATTCAAGTTTGAATCGTTACGGAGATTGAGGCATTGGCTCATTGAGTATCATCACTATAAAAATCTACTGAATCCGATGAATATTGTGTTAGATGGATAAAGTATAAATATATAGATAATACTCCCTCCGTCCCTTAAAACATTTCAATTTCCACTTCTTATCCGTCACATAAAATATTTCAATTTCATCTAAATGGACACAATTGTCCTTACTTTTCTTAAATATAACAAGACGTACCCCAATTACCTTCTACGCTCTACCCGTTTTGATATTTCTCAAGCCTAACTTGTTTCAATTGTCGTCGTTTCGTCTCGGTCAAACTCCTATATCTTCCTTTTTCAAAAGTCAAAATCGGAAAAATTTTGCGGGACGGAGAGAGTATGTTGTAATCGAGTGAATAGCACTAAAATTAAAACAATATATAGGCTTTCATGATAATTTTAACTAGGGCACAAATTGCATACTAAAACTCCATACAAAATAACAAGAATTACGGAAGGAGTACAGTACTACATCAGTCTACATGTCTTCATCGATCTAGCTAGGCCAGGCCACCACTTAGTTAATACTCCGTAGTTGAAAGTTTGTAATAAGTTAAATGAAATTTTAGGTCACACATCATCGTCCATAACTTATGGACTTACGTTCTTAGACTTTAGTGTTTTGTACACTCTCTATTGTTTTGCTCTTTTTATCATCATACATTAATAATTATCTCATGCATCCCATATATCCATATAGCATATCTCTTATTAAAATTATATGCGTCGTCGTCGCATACATACATAGACATATACACATACATATATAGTACCGAGTACGTATATTATTATGTCATGCTGTCAATTCCCAATACCTTTTATGCCTCTTGAACTCAACATTCCATGATCCTCATGTTCCTCCATTATGTTAATTTTTAATGATGATAATATATACACAGGACAGTTCCCATGACACGGGACGAGTCATCTCATGACATGAGGTTCCAATGTCAGGAGAACCTCGCTGATATATACAACATCTTTCTTAAGTTTTCCTAGCTACAACCATCCATTAACATATGTGTCCTAGCTCGATTTATTTCTAGCAATGAAATTATGTGATACTTTCTTCGTCTCATAATAATGCTTTATTTTATTATTGGCAGATGGAGCAAACAATATATTTACTTTATTTACCTATTTTTATTAATTATTCCGTATTTTATAAAATAAAATATTTTTGTCACCATTTATATATCTTGTTTTGTACTCCGTACTATTTTTGAAGTAGTTTTTAAATATGTCAGATTTATTTAGTAATTTTACACCAATCTTTATATAAATTGAATGGAAAATAACTTTTGCGAAACATCGTGATCTAAAATTGAAACATTATTAATTATGAGATAAGGCCAGGGAGTAATTATTCATACTAGCTTGATGGTTTAGATGTGAAAGAAGAAATATGAACCATACAAACATTCTCTCAAAATAATGGAAATTGAATTTTAGGATAATAATGAAGAAACATATTGATTAGAAATAGGAGTATGATATTCCCAAGTGGTCACTTTGGCATAATATATATGGGAAATTATGCAAAACCCATTCTACCTTGGGATCCACCACTTTCCTTTATTGGTTCTTTATTGACTCTTTGACTTCATCTGATTTAAAAGAACTATCGAAAGGTGAAAATGTATGTTTTGAATTGAATTTATTATATTCAAAAAAAAAAGAAGAAGAAGAAATGTATAGCTATATATTCATTAATTATCAAAATAAGAAATAAACTAATAAAATATAACAACTTCTTGAGATATTCAAACAAATAAAGTATAAAGAGTTTATGAGATTATATGCATGTTTTCTCAAGTGTCAACAACAATGCAACATGCATGTGTTGTGCTTAAATCCTTCAAACCAATCATGTGCATGCATGCATGGGGGGAATTAATTACTTGTATAAAGAAGCATGAAATAGAATTGCCTTTGATGTCCTTAAAAAAAGGATTGCCTTTGCTTCTTGACTCTTAAGTAAACAAACCCGTTCCGAAAAACCTTTCCTGTTTTATTTCTTTTGATTAAGTAGTGACACTCTTTATCACCGGTGTATGATGACATTCCGGTGTCACTGTCTTTTTGGAGCACTTCCGGTGCTTCATTCACAAAATTAATCGTTCTATATATCCCTTTTAACTCCCCCCCCCCCCTCGCTCCCTCCAAATATGTGACTATTATGCAATGCATAATAGCCACGATTAAAAAAAGTGGTAGAACCTCGTAAATCAATTTCAAAGAAGTTATTTATTAATATATAAGAAAACCCCCTAAATAAGAGTAAAACATGTATCATATCNGCACTTCCGGTGCTTCATTCACAAAATTAATCGTTCTATATATCCCTTTTAACTCCCCCCCCCCCCTCGCTCCCTCCAAATATGTGACTATTATGCAATGCATAATAGCCACGATTAAAAAAAGTGGTAGAACCTCGTAAATCAATTTCAAAGAAGTTATTTATTAATATATAAGAAAACCCCCTAAATAAGAGTAAAACATGTATCATATCCTCAGAATAGGAGCTTAAACTTAAACTCCTCTAAATAGGAGTAATTAATCATATTTTGTTTCAATTATTTCTAACCGCATAAAGTTGCCCCATAGCCTCCCCTTTTCTCTCTCTCTCTTTCTTCGCACAATCACATCGCTGTTCTTTCCCCGGTCGCCGTCACCGGCAACCTTCACCGGCGTTGCTCTAGGTTTTACAGTGCCGCCCAACCTCCTTCTCTCTCTTTCCCATTCCCTCGCATAGCCCTGCGTCCCCGCACCCCATCCGCCCAGATCTGAAGTCTGATCCACCATGCCCCTGGAGACAAATTTTATTATGCAAAGCTTGAACTCCGTGGCTAAGTTTGTTTTGCTTTTACTTTAGTCAACTTTTTTCACTGACGTTGTGATAGAGAGTGTTTCTTCTCATTATGTTTTCTTTTTTACATTATATAGTTTCTTATTTGTTTTTATGTAGTGCAAAATTTTGCATTATTGGTTGTCATAATTGCCATTGCAGTTTTTTTATATGATACAGTGTCATGTTTATCTTTATACAGCACAAAATTTTGCAGTATTAATTGTCTTCATTGGTGTTAAAGCATTTATTGTCATAATTGACATTGAATATTGGATTGAATGTAAATAGGAGCTAAATTATTAAAATGGAGTAAGACACCACCTACTCCCCATTCCCAAACTCTTTCTCGATCCTACGAATTGCTTCATTCGCTCCACCCTGGTCCATTTCTGCCGCCCATCCCAATCCCACTATGTTAGAATCGTCACAACCGCCGTTGTCACCTAATTGCAGCACCATCACCATCGTCATGTACCCCCACCCATCTCAAACTCGTTACAGATCTCTCTTCCGCCACTCACCCCCTTCTTTTTTGATTTCAACCGCCACCAAATCAGAACGCCATCACCGCCCACGCCGTCTCACCTCCATCTTGCTTCCTCAAAGCCTGATTTCAAAAGTAAGTGAGTTCTCTTTCGATCTTTAATTAAATTTTATTTTCTTTGAATTTTGTCATTGGTAGTCATGTAGGCCATTGGATTTGGTTTGACAGTATGCATTTGTGTGACACTGTGATCAGGTTCACATTGTGGCATTACATATGAGCATTTGTGGCATTATATATGTGTATATGTAGCATTATATATTGTCATGTGTCATTATATGGTGTGATATTTGGCATTATGTCTTTTTTTGACACTATATTACCACCATTCCTTACTATGCCATGCAATCAACGATGCTACCGACAGGGGTTTTGGAAGCTATTGATAGAAAAGTGAGGGGCTTTCTATGGGGCAGCATAAGTGATAACCGTAGGTGCCACCTTGTAAACTGGGAACAAGTCACAAAGCCAAAAGAATTGGGTGGCCTGGGGATCAAAACTGCCAAGGAAATGAATCAAGCCTTCATTGCTAAACTTGGTTGGAGACTACTCAGTGAAGGAGAATCTCTTTGGTCCAAAATCTTGATTGCTAAATATGCTAAAGGGAAAGGTGGGAAAAATATTTTTGGGTACAGGAAGTGAGCATCTAATGCCTGGAGAGGAATCATGACAGTTATGCCTCTGATTGAAGCTGGCATTCACTGCCGCGTTCATAATGGGCAAATGACGAGGTTCTGGCTTGACACTTGGATCGGTGAAAAACCACTTTGCGATTTGGTGCAAGAGTTTGGCAGCGGACATGATCCGCATGCCACTGTTGCTGAACTTTGGAATGGCTCTCGTGGGTGGAGATGGGAGAAAATTCCAAACCTCCCACCTAACATTATTTCTTTTATGCAGTGCCGGGTTATGGAGTTGGACACTAACACCCCTGATGAATTCTACTGGAAGCACGATCCTACAGGTAAGTTTTCAATTAAGTCGGCTTATAATCTAATTAGGGGATTTGCTAACAATGTGCAGGAAGAAGTGTGGTCTATGATTTGGAAGATTAAAGTGCCAAGTAAGATGAAGCTTCTTTTGTGGACTATCTGCCATGAGAAGGTGATGGGAAATGCCGAGCGAAAGAAAAGAAGACTCACTTCGGATAGCTCTTGCCCACTTTGCGGCAACGATGAGACCACCTCTCACATCTTTAAAACTTGCCCAAAAGCAAGACAAATTTGGAATTTTATTGACAATGGAGGTATGGGTTGTAATGGAGATCACACGGAAATGAGGAGATGGGTTGGCGACAATTTAAGGAGAAAGAAAGGCAGACACGACAACAATAATTGGGCTGCCACTTTTGCCGTCACATGTTGGTGGATTTGGAGGTGGCGAAACAACGTTGCCTTCGGTGGGGATGATCTTGACACCCAGTATAAAGTGGCTTGGATTAAGGGATCAATCGCTGAGATTGAAAGGGCATTCGACAAAAATCAGGTATCAACCCCCTCTTTGATGAATACAAGGGATCCTCTACTAAAATGGAATCCGGCAGTTGATCATGAATTCACTCTTAATGTTGATGGAAGCAATAAAGTTATGGCTAACAGGGTGGGGTGCGGCGGAGTCATTCGCAACAATAGAGGAGAATGGCTTGGTGGTTTTTCCTACAGAACTAGACCAAATAACATCGAGGAAATCGAGGCTAAAGCCATTGAGAAAGGCATCCAATGGGCTTGGGGTAGAGGAGTGAGGGATCTTGAGGTGCAGTGTGACGCTAGGGAAGTTGTTAATTGGATTACAACATCGACGAGTCTGAGGGGACCCATGAGCGATACCATTATAGCGATAAAAAGTTGGACTGACAGATTCCATAAAATCAGCTTTCGAGCCATCTTTCGTGGACAAAATAAGGTTGCGGATCGTCTTGCTAACCTTGGGGCTTTTCAAGACATATCATGGAGAACGTTTGAGGTCCCTACTGCAGATTTGGAAACCTTGAGTACTGATGATATGATGAGGGTCACTACTACGCGACACGCTACCACCACTTCTCGAGGCTACTAGCTCGGGGTCTCCCCCTCCTTGTTGATCAAAAAAAAAATGTGACACTCCGATGAAGAAAGTGGAGATTGTGATGGTAGTGTCGAGTGACTTAGAAAAATCAATCCTTTTTGTGAAAAAAAGCAGCTGCGTCCAATTTTTTTTAAAGCAATTGTAAAAAAAATATTCCGTAAGACATTGAAAGGGAGCCCACATTATGAGTGGTGATATAAAAAGTTGGTTGGCAAGGTTGTGAAACCATTATGACAAACTGAAACCAATATTAACGAGTCATCATGCCCTTTCAAAAGAAGATTTAAGAATTGAAATCAATCATAAAAAATCTAATTTGGAGAAAAAGAGAAATGATTGGGGGCCTCAGTATGAAATAAAGCGCAGTGGAGTCCTAATCATGCGTGATCATAATTACCTTATAAAAATCATCGGCAGTCTAATTAGGAGAAAGTGTGGAAATGATTTGATTAATTAAGTCATTTACTCTTATTTAGAGGAGTTTAAGTTTTAACTCTTACTTTTAGGATATGATATATGTTTTACTCCTATTTTGGTTCTTCTCCCTTAATATATTCTTTTTATAAAGAAAATAGGCTTCTATTCTTAAATAATCTGGACTGCTTTTGGCTTGATTGTAAGGCAAGATTTCCATTTTTTGTGGAAATGACTTGGAATAATCCGGACCGCATTGCATAATGCTCACACATTTGGAGGGGGCAAGGGGGGGGTTGGGGTGGGGTGCAACGAGGGGTTTAGGGATGAGATTAAGAGGGTAGGAATCATCAATTTTGTTAATGGAGCACTTGAGATGCTCCAAATGGACAAGTGTCATCCAAATGTGTGGTTATTATGCATTCCAAGTCAACAGAACTTTTCCGTATTAAAAAACTACATAATAATTATTTATTATATAATGACTAAAATTAGAAAATATATATTAATTATTATGTTAAACAATATTTTTATGTCATTTATAGTAAAATTAGACGTAATCGCTAAGGAGCTGGGGCAATATATGAAAGCAAAGTGAAGAGGACTTGATTGAACAAAAAAATTGTACATGTACTAAATTACTTTAGTTTTGCCGTTTTGAGTATAAGGATTAATTTAAAGATTTCTACGTAGTACAAAGATACTTCCTTCATTTCAATAAACCCTACCTCTTTAATTTTTTCATTTCCCTTAAACGTCTCCACTTTCTATTAAAAAATCACTTTTACCTCTATTTTTTCATATCCTACTTATCACATCATAGTTTTTCACTGATAATCTAACTATCATATATTACATTTACACATTACATTAAGGGCAAAATTGGAAAGTCAACCATAAATATATTTTCCTTATTTTGGCTAAAAATCAAAAGGAGAAGGGTTTATTAAACGGAGGGAGTATGTATGATACTTTGTCCAAGTATTATCATGTCATGAATAATTTTGTGACAACCAAGTGAAAGATTATTCCATGACATATTGACACAGAATAATCCACAGCTAATGATGAATTTGTTGATCCTCAACTTAATTGTATATACTCCGTAACATATACGAAGTAATTAATTAGTTGTTAATTGGTAGGGCATACCCGGTATTTTGGTCATAATCCACCTACTGCCTTGCTCACATCAAGGGTTTCTTTTCAAACCTTCTCACCCAACAGTTGTATAATGAAGAAATTCGTGTACAAATGGCCATTGCCAAAATTAGAGCATGTAGCCAAAATGTTAGAACAAGGGAATACTAATAATGTGTACGTCCACCTACGTAAAAAAATGACCAAGACATACTACACACATTCACAAACCCAAAGGGTCGAAAAGTTGCAGGGAAAAAAATGGTTCACACAAAGCAAGTTGTACCCCTATAGCTGATTTATGATGATGTTGTTGAGCTCTGCAGAGTTGCCTTTTCATCATCATCATCATCATCATCATCCCACTGGCTCTTAGGGATCTCTCCAGAATCAGCAATGGTGACCTTCTTCCTAGGTTTCCCACTGTAGGTCCCGGCTCCCCCCTCGACCGCATACACTGTGTCCATCCCTTCAATAACTTTCCCAAACACAACATGCTCCCCGTCCAACCTGCCGCAACAATTATCAATATATACTCTCTCTCTCTCTCTCCCAGTCACTCCAAGTAATAAATGATGCAACTAACATTACCAGCTTGTCTTGACAGTCGTAATGAAAAACTGGCAGCCATTAGAATCGCGTCCAAAGTTCACCATGGAAACAACACCTATTCACAAAGCACAACCAAAAGCACACATTTAGTACTCCGTCCCACTGTCCTCTTTGGGCATCCCAAAATGATCTTACCATTCCTTTTTAGATGATGCGGTTCATATTCTTTTTTCTTAAACTCGTGTCATTTTCAAATTCTAAGTTCATTTTGGGACGCAAGCTAAGGTCTATTCTTTTTGTGTCCCATAGAGAGAGATTTAGCGTAAAAAAGAGTATAAAGACCTGGGTGGGAGTGCTTGATCTTGAAGTTTTCATCAGGAAAGCTACCTCCATATATGGACTCGTTTCCCCTTCCATCACCGTATGCAATATCTCCACCTTGAATCATGAACCCAGGTATTATGCGGTGAATTGGCGTTCCCTTATAATGAAGGGAAATTCCTTTTGCAGTCTTCCCCATCTCCCCTGGATTTAATATTATAAGTGTGCGCGCACGCTATAGCCAATTCAAATATGCATGATTTGAAATTCGAAGTTGAAAAGTTCAAGTTTGTGAAGGTATGTGAATTTGAGGTAATCCAATAAATACCTGTGCACAATGACCTGAAGTTCTCTGCACAACAGATAGCAAAATATGTTACACAATGATACCTAGAACTAACCAAGAAATGAAAACTGAGGAATTGCATTTATCGGCATGTTGACGAAACATACCAGCTGTTTTTGGTACATCTTTGCCATATAATCCGATAACAATTCTTCCTGCAAAATATGTAGAAATGTTATGGCCTAAGTAGACATCCAAGTAACAGTTCTTTTACCAAGAGAAAGATTATGTCAAAAAGCAATATATGTAGGTCTCTTTGTATATATGTTAGCTCAAACACACTTGGGAAGATATGGTCAACAGGGAGATACAAGGGTTGTTGAAATGAGGAGCTCACATTAAAAAAAGTACAACTAAGAACCCTCTTGCACGTTTTTATGGAAATAATAAGAAAGCAACAAGCATAAGACATACCTATACGCTGCTTATCGATATCGACATCCAAAAATACTCTATGGGTTACTTCAAACACCTCTTCAACGTTTTCTCCTAGCTGACAATTAAGACATTGGAAATATTGTGAAACACTTTGTGAAGGGTAAATATTTTAATACTTAAAGAAATGTTAATTGATACCAGCAAAGAATTATAGATCAAAGACTTTGTAATACTGCATTGTAAATATCATGGTTTTGAAAGGCGAGAGGTGAGAGGCGGGCAAGATGAGCTTTTCATGTGAAAGGCATGGGTTTGATTCCACGCTGCTTTCAGTTAGTGTTCAATGTTGAGTGACCGCTCAGCTTGGTCCGATGATGACAAAGAGACTAACTACTTTATAAAATCGATCGAGAATGTCATCATCTGAAGCAGTGTAACATATAGTGATAACTGATAACTTATATATGTATGAAAAGATGAGTAATGAGTTGAACATAATGAAACAAACTGAGTTGTCCGGAATGAGTTGAACTATGAGAAACTCATTCAGTTCAAGAAGTCTAAACAGAAACATCTACCAAAAGGGAACCTACTAAAGAGAAACAAGATTAACAAAATGATAAACACCGACTGCAAAATGATTTGATTCTAATACCGATACCCAAAGCTGTTCAGAAACAAGATTAACAAAATCCAACCGGAAATTGAACTGAAAGCTGGAAACTTTTACAGGTATGAAATAACCCAGAACAGCACAGCCCAGAACTGAAAGCACATTATTTAAATTCAACACAGCCCACAGACCGAAACCCAGATCCCCCAAAAAAAAGTAGAACAACTGACACTAAAGGAAAGAAAAGTTACCTGGAGAAAGGAGGAGGCAGCGAAATAGATCAGAACGAAAGCGGGGATGGCGAGGAGAAGGTAGCGTGTGCGAAATATAGCTGAGATCCCCCGACCCATCTCTTCTGTTCTTTTCTACACTCAACCCAACATTTATAATTTCTTCTTCCTCTGATCAATTGGCCAGGACAAACGAAGATTAAAGGCATAAAACAACGGGGAATGGTATCAGGAGCGCAGCCGAAGAGTGTTGGAGGAACATGAAGTTGTCCTTCCCTTCCCACTGAATCAAACAAAACTGAAAAACGCAGAGCCATTGTTCCAAACTGTAGCATCGAATTGGGCTTTCTATCTTCTGATTCAACGCTAACGATGAAGAGTCGAAGATCACTCGTAACCCATCAGATGAATTAATCTATCTGGGCCTTGGTTGCTTTTGTAGCCCAATAACAGAGTCAAGTTTCTATTCTCAATTGTGTTCCGTTCAATTTGTTTTTTTCAAAATAATTGATTATTCTTATTAAAATCAATTTAGATCCCTCAGATCAAATCAAAAGAAACATTAAATATAATTACAATCACATTAAATTAGGTCAAATTTTCAAAAAATCAGATCAAATCAAGCGAACAAAATACAATCTAATCTTATGATTTAGAGAGTATTTTTTTAAGAAAATCCCCTAAATAGGAGTAAAACATGTGTTATATCCTCAAAATAGGAGTGCTATCTTTTTATACCCGAAATAGGACTAAAATTATTTTCTTTAAAACTAATCCAATGCGCCTGGTTTTCCAGTGATTATCGACAAAAAATAAGAAATCTCACCGGCAACATCTTTCATTCTCGATCATTTGATTCCGTTGGCCTCTTCGAATTTGTTGATCGTTCTTGCTGTTCTTTGAAATCATCTTTAACAAGGGATCATCAATTCAAGCTCTTCCCTCTTGATTTGTGACTGAAACTCTCAAAATTGAACCTTAAAATCCACGAGCTTACTATTCAATCGGAAATCTTACACGGCCGATTCACTACGATTTCGTCGGCCAAGCTTGAGAGATTAGGAGCGACTACAGATGCTAATTGAGAATCAAAAGTTGGTTTGCTATTCCAACAAAAATTCATACAATGTAGCCTGATTGGGTCTCGACATCACTATTCTCATTGGGAGCCTGAGATTCGTTCTACCAAGGTTCATGCTTCGTCTCCTTCAAGCTTTTGGTGTTTTGGGGGTATTGTTTAGGGGCCTTTCACTCCATTTTAAGGATGATTTCTCTGATTGGATTATTGAACATGTTTTTTGGCTCCATTTTTGTTCTTATTTTGAGTTTGGGCTTGAAATTCTGGTTTGAGGCTATGGCAGTTTGAAGTGTTGTTTGAGTGATGTATGAATTTTGCTGGAACCATGCAACTAATTAAATTGAAGAAGATGGGAATGCTTTTGGGGCTGATTCTCTTTGAAGATGTGAAGGAACTTTGTTGTTTTTGTACAAGTCCTTGCTCACTACTTTAGACTTTTGGTGAGAACCGTTGAGGAGAATGCAGCTTTGGAGCTACTGGTTTTAAGTTCTTGTAGTACCTCAAAGTGTTTTTGCCATTATTGGAGTGTTTTGTCTGATGACACAAGGGTTGTTGTTTGCTAAAAGTTGGTGGCCTTTGTCGATCAGCACCTTGGATGGGAAGGGCTATTGTTGAGCTAGTCTATACCAATAGCTTTTGTTCGCCTTGCCAACTGCTTCATTACCACCTTCGCCAAGTTCCTTGGGGACCAAGATGTTGGTTTCCTTCAAGCTTGATGGAGGTTAGGGACAAAGCTTGATTTTAGTGGAGGGTTACAGGCCACTTTCCAACCATCTTCTTGGTTGGGTTTGGGGCTTTTTCTGGGCACAAGGATGTTGACCTAGTTATGCTCTGTTGTTCTCCATTTGTGTGCAATGCATATTGAGTGGGCATGGCGTTAGTGGCCTTTCTCGTGCATTTATTGTTACTCGGTGGCTTCCCCTATTTCAAGCGATGAAGGTCAGTTCCAATGGTGGCTAAACTTGACTTGAAGACAAAGGGCCGCGGTGGATAATAGCCGTTTGGCTACCATTTGACCCTGGCTGTTTGTGGATAGCTTTGAGACCAGGTTTGCTGCCCTAAATGCCTAGCCCTCAAAGGATTTGCTGCCCTAAATGCCTAGCCCTCTTCACCAGTGTTGGGGATGGTTGGTCTTTCAGCCGCCAGAAAAGGGTTCGTAAAACAAGTGATGGTCATTAGTATTGCAGGGTAGTGGTATGGTTGGGTTTGGAACTGTGACATTATATATGGGAAACTGTGGCATTATATATAGGAAACTGTGGCATTGTATATGGGCAACCGAGACCTTTTATATGACTACATGAGAAATTATGGCATTGTATATGTGGATCTGTGGCATTATATATAGGAATATGTGGTATTACGCATTGAGAACATTGTGGTCGCTGATGACGGTAAAAAATCAACAGCAACAATGGCAGATTTCGGCAGCACATGCACATCATCGCAGTGGGGTTGGAGTAGGCTAGCGGCGGAGAGAAGTGACCGTAACAAGCAACAAAGACGTGGTGGTAGTGGGCCACGTTGATGGCGGAAAGAGGTCATGGCGACGGTGGTAGGAGGTGCTCGCGTGGCCGTGTGGGCGGTAAGATTCCGTCAAGAGCGATGAGTTTCCAATTCATTTCCATTCTTTTATTCCGTACTAGTGTATGTCTCTGAGGGGTGCTGGGGTTGACAATTGTTTTTAGTTTTACAATTTTCATGCTTTAGTCCAAAGATTGGAGCCCAAATTGCGTTGGCAGTCAACACACTGCGTGAGCATTATTTTTTCTTTTTAATATAAATTAATTTAGTTATTACACCTATTTAGGGGAGTTTAAGTTTCAACTCTTATTTTAAAGATATGATATATGTTTTACTCCTAGTTTGGTCCTTTTCTCTATTTTTTTTGAGGAAAAGGGAAGTAATTAATCATTAATTATATGAGGGAGTACATTGATTGGGCTAGGGGAATGAAGCCACACCCCTTCGTTCAAATGCGAACGAGGTCCTTAAACAAGACCGTGAGCAGTCACGTTCGTTAAACAATAAGCAAAAGAAAAATTAATGGCAGTCCCATTGTAGGCAAAAGATGTACATGAACTATTAATATGAAATAAAGGTAGGGTAATTTACTTAAATAGGACTAAAACATAATTACTTTTTCAATATATGACCATATGTTTTTATTTTCCAATGTAGGACCATTGGTCATGATCTATTAGTCATTATTCAAATATCACTCGGACATTATTCTTCTCACTAATTATTATTAAGTCTTATTTAAGGAATATAAAAGTTTAAGTACTACATTGAGAAATGACTTATGTTTTAGTCTTATTTAGTACAAATTTCACATAAAGATAATAGTACTCTAATAGATTATCGTTGCGTGGTTAGAGAGACTTGTAGGTCAAGCAAAATCCTTGGCCCTCAGCCATTATGTTTTGATACTCCCAACGTCCTATATTCATCTTCCTACATTGACTATATGCCATTTTTAAGGGAGTGTAAAATATGCATTGACTTTCCCAAAATGCCCCTAAAGTACTCTTCCAGTTCACCAAACATTGCAGATCTTAAAACAAACACTCACGCAACTTTTTTTCAAAAATGGACTGCTAACAAAAACAAAAATCGCATCCTAGAAGAAAAAAAAATCTTTAATAAATTGTGGAATTGAAATGAGAGCTCCTTTTCCAGACCGTCCACCCACAATCCATCGGCAAGATCTGACCACGCCGTTGCGACATTCATTCATCGGCAAGATCTGGGCGATGTTAAGCCCGGGTCCTCTTCCCCAATCCATAGTTGATGTTGCCCGCTCTGCCAATTCTACGGATCCAAATCCGTCAAGTTCCTTGGAATCAAATCCGGGTTAAACATCGGCGGCAGATCGTAGACGAAAACCCTTCCATACTCGCATCCTCTGCCTTCCGGCGGCGGGGCAGCGGCGGGACGACGACGGGAGCGTAGGAAGTGGAGAAAGATGACTAGGGCGGAGAAAGATGACTAAGGAGAGAGAGGGAGAAATTAGGAGGAAGATGAAGAAAGATGATGGTGGAGAGAGGAAAAATGGAGAGAGGACTAGGAAGAGACGAGAGGGAAGAGAATAAAATTTGTGGTGGGTGGGAAAGCTAGTAAAGATAAGGAGGGTATAATAGTCATTCACACTCTCTTTTTTTAAGTGGGAAGATGATTTTAGGACGGGAAAAAAAGGGAAGTGGGAAGATGAATATAGGACGGAGGGAGTACATTACAGTCTCCATTATGCTTTCATTTTTTTTTATCTTAACCTCTCACATTCTCTTTAGGTCTCGATTAGCCTACTTAAGTGTACCCGACCTGGCACCCCTGCTCCTTTCATTGGTACCAAGTATGGGCAGGTTAAGTATACGTCGTGGGGGTGATCTCTATCACAAATTACAAAGAATTTGAACATTTAATAAAATTTAATTACAGGTACGTATCCAAATTAAATAATGTTGTTTCGAAAACATAAAACAGTCCCTTAAGTTTTTTTAAACAATTAAGCACATTCACATTCAACAATAACAACAAAAACCAAAATACACAATACGTACAAAACCTTGTGATTGACAAAATTGTGAATTTGAGAAATAATACTCTTTGCTAAGGAGTGTCTTTTTAGTTGTCACCTCTTTCTAAAAAAAGATGAGCCCCATCTACGAGACCACCCTCAGATCTGGCGGATGATCACTTAAAAGAGATAAATTATACTTTAATCACAAAATGGTGGCAGAGCATAAAGATTGCACCTGGTACTTGCAGATATCATATGTTTAATAGAGTTGTCTCCTTAAACAGTTGTTACAAATCAAACCTTGGTCTACCTCTTTGACTCTTCCTACCTTTGTCAATTGCGCAACGCTCACCAGCGTTGTCCGCTCTTTCTTGATTAATTAGAATGTGATTAATTAGAGCACCTATGTACTCCTCACTCTAGCTAGTCCTTAAAAAACCCTTCATGTTTCAAAAAAGACATGTCTTAAAAATAGATAATGATTAATGGTCATATATTAAAAAAGTTATTATGTTTTAGTTCTATTTAGATAAATTTTTTTAATAAAAAATTTAAATTTATATATATTTAAAGACTAAATGAAAGTTACTCCGTCTGTATATAAAGAACAAGAGACCATATATGATTATTTTGTTTTACAAGATACTCCGTAGTAAAACACTCCTTACTCTCCTAGTAAGGATAAGGGCGAAGTTAATGTGGTAGCTGGACACGTATTTCAATCATTTTGTGATTTAAGACCGTGGATGGCTTCACTGACTTGATATGTTCCATCCACATACCAAAATTTGAAAAAATGTGCGTAAATATTGTGTGTGTATCTTATCATCACCTCGTTTCTTATCCATCTCCAGATCATGGGTTGATTACTTATCTTGTGTCTTCCTTGTTTTAAGTGGGGTTGGAAATCACATGGATTTAGCTATTTATACATCAACAAAACTTTTGTTTAATTTTGTACCCTTAAGATATGCACCAACATTTTACGCTAGTGAAATGGTTTACTTTGACAAAAATAGAGGTGTAAATTTTTTTAAGTGAACTAATATTTTGTGACAGTATGAACCATTAAAATATCAATATATTTTTTTGAGATATACTCCCTCCGTCCTCCTAAGATCTTCTCGTTTTGATTTTTGGTGGTTTTTAAAAAGAGTTAAAAAAAGGTGAAAGTTTACCAAAATACCCTTAATGAAAATGGGTGGGGTGTATTAAATAAGGTGGAAAAGGTGTAATAAATAAAGTAAGTGGGGATAGTTGTGGTATTTTAAAGGTTAAAAAAGGTAATGAGAAAATCTATGTGGGACAAATAAAAAGGGCTAATGGGAAGATCTATGAGGGACAGAGGGAGTATTTTTTAGTATATTCCTAACTTGGTTGTAGTCACATAGACCTCTTGATAAGGTAAGTGGCCGTGAATGGTTACTCTCCCAAAAAATTTTGCATTATGTTGAAGCAAATGTTTTGTGTTGTTTTTACAACTCCATTCTCCTAAGGTGTATCTCAGGTGTATCTCAAACATGTATTAATTCGATGAATAATACCTTGAGAGGGGAGAATCGAAGAGAGCTTTGTCAAAAAGTAAGTAGAAATGTATTTGACATCCTCTCTAGCTACTTCACGGCACAAGTTTTACGAACAATTAGAACACACAAATTGCAATTTTTACGTGGAATTTCCAGGCTGTAAAATCCCACCACCATCCGACATGGGCCACCCACCGTACCTATCGTACTTTGTTTCATCTTCCTCGACAACGACCCGCGCTATGCCTCTCCCATCGTCCAACACATCTTCATCCATCATTTGTTTTTCGATCATTTAGTTTCAAATTAATGGTCCTCACATAACTTAGACATGATTTAATAACCAATTTAGAAAAATAATTAGTTAAAATTTACTTAGAAGAAAAGAAGTTATATATCACACATTTTTTTTATTAGATAAAAAATGTAATAATAATTATTTCAAAAGATAATAAAATGATTAATTCAAAATGGATTTCCATGTAAAACAATGCACCTCCTTATTTTGGATAATCATCTTAAAATAAAAAACTACCCCGCAAATATGAAGAACTACTATCATTAAGAATCCTTTATAAATGTTATTCTATTCGGTATATGATCAAGAGTAAAGTTAAATTGGGAATGAATATAGCAAATTGGTTCATGTAAAGTAAAATATGTCAACGGTCAAAGTTTTATAGACTCCTCCTTAGTCGTTTCCAACTTGGAGTGGTGAGGAATTTGAAACGTGTGGGGGAGTGTATATCGCAATGGTATGAGTATGATCGAGAGGAGATTATTATTGTTTTGGGTTATAGTCCAAATAAATTACGGAGTGGCTTTGTGAGAGCACTCTTAGAGCAGTGGCAGTGGCGAGGCAAATAGCCTCCACGCACTGCCACATCAGCACCAAACTTGTTTTCCTCGCATGTCATTTTTGTTTTGACTCTCCTTGCGACTCACTTCCGAGTGTCGAGGCATGGCAAGGCTAGTTTTTCTTTTGTTTTTTCCTATTTCTTTTTTTTTAACTTAAGAAAGAAATTTGCAAGGGGGTACGGATGAAGGTGTTGGTGGATTTATCCACTATGAAATACTACGTATTATTATTTTTAGTTTCAATTTCTATTTTTATTATATAAAAAAAGCTTTTTCTATGAAGGTAATAGAAATACATAGTATTTGTATGTTAAAAGAGATGATAAAAATAATTTTTATTAGTTAATATACATAAAAAAATTAAAAAATAAAAAAAATAATGACTTGTCATTGTAGGACATGCCACTCCTATCACTTGCCACTCAACAAAAATAATAATTTTTTTAATTTAACTTTTCACCATTTCAAAAATTTTACAAAATAAGTAGCGATAAGAATAATTTATTTTATTAAATATACCGTGAAAAAGGGAAGCACACAAAATCTAAAATAGTAACTACGACATTTTTGGGAATAGAGAGAGTATAAACAAAATAGTACTCCCTCCGTCCCCCATAGATCTTCCCAATAGCCCTTTTTCTTTGTCCACAATAGATATTTTCATTTCATTTTTTAACAATTAAAATACCACAACTACCCCTACTTACTTTATTTATTACACCTCACCCACCTCATTTAATACACTCCACCCTTTTTTCATTAAGGGTATTATGGTAAAATTTCACCTTTTTTCAACTCTCCTTAAAAACCACCAAAAGTCAAAATGAGAACATCTTAGGGGGATGGAGGGAGTACTATTTTTATAAAAATATTAAATAAAAAAAATATTAATAATTATATACATAAAAATGTAAAAAAGTGACAAAGATAGTGACTTGCCACTGCAATGCATGCCACTCCATGCTCTTGCCACACGATGACTGGACTGTTTTCTATTAGTTGGAATGTTCCACGTCAACGTGTGGCATTCCATTTTTTGCCTTGCCATTGCCCGTGCTCTTATATGTACATATCTAAGGCCCATTTATCTTTCTCACCATAAACCAAACGTCATAATGGGGTTCCTAGTCTCTTCCAATTCGCCGGCCACTAAATGGATTGGCTTTGTCACCGCCGTCTGGGTCCAAGCCATCTCCGGCAACAACTACACCTTCTCCAACTACTCCGACGCCCTCAAGAACCTCATGGCCCTCACTCAGCTCCAGCTCAACAACCTCTCCGTCGCTAAGGATGTCGGAAAAGCCTTCGGTCTCCTCGCCGGCATCGCTTCCGACCGACTCCCCACCCCCGCCATCCTCCTCATCGGCTCCGTCGAAGGATTCGTGGGCTACGGCGTCCAGTGGCTCGTCGTCAGCGGCCGCATCCAGCCTCTCCCCTACTGGGCCATGTGCATCTTCCTCTGTATGGGCGGCAACAGCACCACCTGGATGAACACCGCCGTCCTCGTCACCTGCATCCGCAATTTCAGGAAGAACAGAGGCCCCGTCTCCGGAATCCTCAAAGGCTACGTCGGATTGAGCACCGCCATCTTCACCGACCTCTGCTCCGCCCTGTTCGCCGACGACCCGGCGAAGTTCCTGCTCATGCTCGCCACAGTACCCTTCGTGGTCTGCACCGCGGCGATCTTCTGCCTCCGCGAGGTGGCGCCGTCGGAGACGGCGGAAGAAGAGCGGGACGAGGCGAAATACTTCGGGGTGGTGAACGCAGTCGCCGTGGTAATCGCGGTTTACCTTCTGGCGTTCGACGTGACAGCGCCCCACGGGCGCGTGTTCTCACGGATCTTCGCGGCCGTGCTGATGGTTCTCCTGGCTTCTCCTCTGGGAATCCCAATTCGGCTGAAAATTAAAACCTGGACGACAACGGGAGGGGATTCGAAAGGCGCCCGGGACGTGGAAGCTAGCGCCGCCGCGGCGGAGCCGTTNGGGAGGACCACACGATAGTGGAGGCGGTGAAAACGGTGGAGTTCTGGGTGCTGTTCGTGTCGTTTCTGTGCGGGGTGGGGACGGGGCTGGCAGTGATGAATAACATGGGGCAGATGGGGTTGGCACTGGGTTACGCAGACGTCTCCATCTTCGTGTCGCTCACCAGTATTTGGGGCTTCTTTGGCCGCATCCTCTCCGGCTCCCTTTCCGAATACTTCATCAAGTAAGTAAGAAGAACTAACAAGTCTCCCCCCTTTTTCCCGTCTCTTTTACGCAAATCTTACGCAATCTCCTTCTTTTTTTTTTACTGTTAAATGAATGGATTTAGATGGTAGGTTGGGAGGGGGTAATTCGACCTATCAAATAATTAATGAATGTGATAGCAAACTGTGTAATTCAATGAATGTGCAGAAGAGGTGGAACCCCAAGACCAGTGTGGAACGCAGCTTCTCAGGTTCTAATGGCAGTAGGATACATCACCCTCGCGATGGCACTGCCGGGCTCACTCTACATCGGCTCCATCGTCGTTGGAATCTGCTACGGCGTCCGTCTCGCCGTCACAGTCCCCACTGCCTCCGAACTCTTCGGCCTCAAGTACTACGGCCTAATATACAACGTTCTCATCCTCAACCTCCCCCTGGGCTCCTTCCTCTTCTCCGGTCTGCTGGCCGGACTGCTGTACGACGCGGAGGCCACCCAGACGGCCGGTGGCGGCAACACCTGTATCGGCGCACACTGCTACAGGCTGGTGTTCATAGTGATGGCCGTAGCGTGTGCTGTTGGGTTCGGACTCGACGTCCTTCTTTCCATTCGAACCAGGAGCTTGTATTCCAAGATATATGCGTCCAGGAGATCCAAGAAGATGATTGCCTCTTCTTCATCATTGTCTTAAAGAAAAAGAAGAAGAGGTTTTCTAAATTCTCATTCTTGCAAGTCTTGTGTTCATGGATATTTATTGAAAAAACCTTGCTGAACCCTAAGTTACACCCACATTTGACCCAATGCGCTCATAGAAATCACCGAAACAAAACAATGTTTCATATCTATGAAGACATTGCGATCAAAAGTAAGGTACTGCAACTTTGGTGTTCACCAAGCGTGACTCTTTTTTTTCCCTCTGGCGCTAGAGCGCCAGACCCAATATGTATTCGTTCATTAAATTGTTTCATTGAATTGATATTGCAATGCAAATAAATTTTTTGAGCACCATTACCAGTGTAATATCTGCCCGTATATATATTTTATGTGCCTTACTAGGATTCAATCATGTAACCTCGTTGGAGAGAGCCATAGTTATGTTGTTCGAACCCAAAGTCTTTCATAACTCTATTAGGGAGTGTAATAGAGAAGAAAATGATCATTGCAAAAAAATCAGAATGTAAAGAACAGTAGTGAGTAATTTAGTGGTCTACAATATAACTAACAAACCAAATCATAGACCTAAACACCAAACCAAAATTGGTCTGCGCAAATGTTGCCTACGCCTGCTGTTCTAAACATCAACCTGAAGGACCAACCCAAGGTTAGGCACACAATTGAATGTGAAATGCTGCACGAAACAAGCGAGCCGCGCCATTAATTAAGGCATACCACTCCCATGATGCCTTCCGAGGTACAACATAGTTTTGTTGACTAGTGGCAAGTCCGCAGCCTGCCTCTGCGCCGTGAGAACTTTCAGGCTGCAAACACCATTCCCACATCAACTACATTATGTATCTTAAATCTTGCTTCTAGCTACAAGCCATTTAATCTATAAGTGCACTATCATAGTTCAAACTACGGGGAAGATATAGCCATTATGTATCTTAAATCTTGCTTCTAGCTACAAGCCATTTAATCTATAAGAAACAAATTAAAAGGGCAACTTGTACACATCTAAGTCAATGAATGGCTTGCTCTCTTAAGCCAAATGTGGCATTGGAGAAGTTTGTTTCTGTCAATTCTAGCAAGATTTTCATGTTCAACACCAAACCACAAAGATTAAGGAAAAAGAACAGGCTTTTTGGACAAGTAAATAAGTTCATCACCTGGTATAAGGGGGCGGACAGAACATGATCAAGTAATCAGCGCCGGAGCAGGTGAAGGTGCTAGTCTTGTCATCGTAGGCATAACTGTAAGATCGGGGGCAGGCGTGCTTGAAGTAGAGGGAGTAGGCGGACGGGTGACAAGTGTCCGGCGTCGCGTAGGCTTCACTGCAGCAGTATACAGGGTCGTTGAATGCCAAGCACGCGCTTTTGCAAGCCACGCACTCACTGCCCCTCCCTTTCCCACGCGCCACCCTCAGGGCCGCCGGGCAGGCCCGATTCAAGTCCACCAAGCAACCGGTGGCGGCGCAGCCCCCGCTCTTGCCGCCCTTCGCCACAATCAGCATCGGCAGGTTGTACCCGTCCACGAGGCTGACGTCGTAGAAGTCCAGCCCCTGGTCGCCGTTGAGGGTGAACTCCGCCAAGGTGGCTGGGGGTATAGCCCCGCCTCCCGCGCAGGCTATCTTCCCGGATCCGCAGTCGCCGGTGGCACATGTGAATTTTCCGGCGGAATCCCTGGAGCAGTATGTCCGGCCCCATACCCGACCCGACCAAGAGGCGGGCACAGAAAGAGTCTTGGATTGGCCACTCTTGAGCTTGAATCCCGTCGGGTAAAGGATTGGCCGGTTAGCTCCGGTCAAAACTCCGGGCCATACTGTATGCCGGCACTTGTTCACTATCTTGAACGTCGTCGGCTGCACTCCTGCAATTTTTTTTTTTTTTGGGGGGTTCGTTGAGAAATTGAATGACTAAAATTTCAATGAAAGTGTAAAAAGATAAAAAAACTCATAAATAAAGAGAAATAATGTAAGCATTAAGCAAAGTTGCAATGATTATTACTGCCGTAAAGAAGAGAGGAAGTAGTGAGGAGGAGGAGGAGAAGGGATAGAGAATTGACGGCGAGGAGGCGACCCATTTTGTGGAAGACTTCGACTGTGAGACTGAAAGAGAGAAGAAGGGGATCCGACTAGTAACTCTCTTTGCTTTTGCGGATTCTTCCCAGCTAGTTTGATCCAATTTTGAATTTTCAATGCTTATAATTAAATAAAATTTAAATCATATATACTTCTTCCAACTTAAATTTTTTTTATTTGGATTTTATAAAATTTAAAGAAATGATTATAGGGACGTAAAGAATATTAATTAGATAGAAAAAATTGAAAAGAAATTACTTACAATATAAATGTACTAAGATTATTTTTGTATTACATCGAAAATAAGTTTATTTATTTAAAGATTTTTTTTTGTCAATTTTGATTACAAAAAAACAAAAAATAAACAAATAGAATATGGGGCTGGTAAAATTTTTATAATCAATCTGCCTCAAAAGTTAAGTTCATTTCTTGTGGTGTTGACATATGACATACCATATGTGCATCTACATGTGCACCCATTATTGAGGTGGATGCATTTCATTAGTCAATTTAGATTTTATTATAAATCTTTTAAGATATTTGTATAAAACTTTTTTATTTTCTAAGAATTTTATAAATATATATTTCACCATTTTAGAATATATCGTGTTTTTAAATGTTATATATGTGTGTGTGTGTGTCTATATATATATATATATATATATATAAAATTATATTTCTAGAATGTAAAAAAATTAGAATGTATACAAACTCGTGCGAAGGACAAAGTTGGCACTAGTTTAATTGTGCCCTCAACATCACACTTTGACATGTTTGAATTGACATTATTCAGTCGAGAGTGTATGGTGCCATTGTGACATTCCAATTAAAAAATATAGTTTTCGCTCAAATTCGTGAACCGGCTAGATTGATCTGGGTCACATGGTTCTCCGGGTCTAACGAGTTTGAGCGGGTCCATCACAAAACAAGTTTACCCATTGAACCGGACCGAATTTATGTCCAGGTCACAGTCCAACCGGTTGGGTTGCTTGGAGGTTGTGCTGGCCTTTCAACAAGGAGATTGCTCTTTTTGGTTGTCATATCTGAGTTCGTTGATCAAAAATCGTTTGATGTTTTAGGCCTCGTTTACTATGGCTACAATGTCTTTTGTTCACCTCTAACTTAATAATGTTGCTCATTTGTTAGCTAGAAATGTGTTGGTTTTTAGACCTGAGCGGGAGTTTACCCCACTAGACTTTGTTATGAAACTTTTCGTTAGGTCACTAATTTAATAAAATTGATATTTGATATTTATATAATTTTTTATCAAATTTATTTGATTAAATATTTTAAAATATTGTTTATCTATTTGATATACTACCCTACATAATTTTTATTCAAGTATATGTCAAATGTTGGGTCTGTCCGGGAACAGCGGTAGAGATTAACGTTAATGTTTTTAAAAAAAGTTATCTACGAGCAACATTGAGCGTTAGCATTTTCAAAATTAATCAGCACAATTAAAATTTTATATAAAAAATTAAACCTAATAAAAAAATGTTATTTTCAACCAAGCATGTTATAACTACTCCGTAATTGGCAGGGAGGATGCAACACGGAGTAATAAATAAAGCAATCACGCTCGCTTTGGCTACAATCATGCGGTCTACTTTAATTTAATTTTCTCATTCGAGTAATAATTGCTTAAGAAATCACCCTACATAGCACTCTAACTCACCCTAAATTACGCATTTAGCACTACTCATTATTTTTAACAAATTTAGCAATTTATGGTGTCAATCCTTTCCTATCATACCCTTTACCCCTTTTTCTTTTTTTTTTCATTAAAAATTACGGCATTCAACTCCAATCTCTCCTTCCGTTCTCACGCACGCTATTGAACTCCACGGTCTCTCCTTCCGTTCGCCGGCGATGATGCGTCCTCAGTCCTTCGCCCACGATTCCTTGGTCGATCAGCAGCGGCAATCATCAGGTTCTCTCCCATGCTAATCTTTGATGTCGCTAATCATTTTCTCTTCTCCTTCAATTTTTAATTTTCATTCCTTCATCCTTTTATTCGGATTTCCCTGTATTTTTAGTACTAATTATTGTGTTTTCTTCGTATTGAAGATTAGGTGTATGTTGTGAAATCAATTTTGAAATACCAAGTATTTGTCCCTTTTGAAAAATTAGGTCTTTTGAAAGGCATTGTGATTTTGGCAGTGTGAAGATTAGATGTTATGGTGTGGGCAGTGTGAAGATTAAATGTTAAAATTTTGTCTTGCATCCTTTTATTGCTGTATTTTTAGTTTTAATTATTGTGTTTTGTGGCAGTGTAGATATATATATTGTGACAGTGTATATATTGTGGCAGTGTATTTCAGACATTGAATTTTTGGCAGTGTATATATTGTGGCAGTGTATTTCAGACATTGAATTTTTGGAAGTACATATTGTGGCAGTGTAGAGAATATATATTGCAGTGTATAATTACCATAAAAAATAAAAGGTCACGGCTTAAAATGAATTCTGCTCTTTTTTTGGCAGTGTTGTATGTGTTAGGTCACTAAATTCAATCTCAAACATATTGTGGCAGTGAATAGTAGAGAATTTCATACTTATTTATAATGTGGCAGTGAAGAGTATACATTGCAGTATAATTCTAATTTTGGGAGTTTATTTAAGGACAAAAACGGGAATTCATCCCAAAAACTAATAGCACTGCTATTTTGAGTATTTTAAGGCTATTAAAGTGCTATTTTCGTATTTCTCCCTAATTGCTTCCCAAGCGGCCAGGCCTTTCTTTTTTGGCCAAAACATTTTTGAAAAATATACTCCCTCCGTCCTATAATGATCTTCCCGGTTCGCAAAACGAAGAAAAATCCCAAGTTTTTTCAATCTATTTTATTTAAATATTGGTATAGAAATAAAAAATAAAACATACATATTTAAAAATTACACCAAAAGTTCAACAAAACAAGTGGTGACAAGAATATTTTATTTTATCATATAGGCCATGAAAAAAGACAAATAAATATAAATTCCCGTGAAGTTGGAATAGTGCTCTGGAAAAATCATTATAGGACGGAGGGAGTAATAAATACTCCGTAACACATAATCACATATTACTTCACTCCCCTGTATTATCTTATTATTTGTTGAAATATGTCACGTCAACGTGTGACATTTAATTTTTTTACTTGTCATAGCTTATGCCCATGAGATTAAAGGGGGACAAAAAATTTGGAGAATCATAGAGAATGACACGCCGGTCGTTCCCTTAGTGGCAAAGCACTAAAAAAGAAGAAGAAAGGCTTGCAGAGGACGCAAGCTAAGGTTGAAGATCAATGAGTGCACAGTACGCCGTAATATAGGATTAAGTCGCATGGCATAGAGAGAGAGAGAGAGAGAGAGAGAGAGAGAGAGGAAGCTGGTGCTTCAATTCAGGTAGAATAAGAAGCAGTTTTCTTATTTCATTAGAATCGAGCTAGCTAGCTAGTTATTAGCTGTGTATGCATGTATCCATAAATAAAACAAAGGTCGTTAATCTTGATCACTCTTAGCTTGAGGGATCATCTTCCTTACATATATCCATGGAAGTTATAATCAACAGGGAATCATTATCAACAACAAGAACAACAACAGCTAATATTGAAGATGAGAATGGGGTGGAGAGTGTAATAGCCGGAAACTATGTACAGATGACCAACAAGAGTAATACCAACCGGGAAGAGGAAGAGGAAGAGGAGCACGGTGGTGAGCTGGGTGCGAAGATATCAAAACTAGTATGGCAAGGCGGGTCGGCATATGATGCTTGGTTCAGCTGCGCTTCGAATCAGGTGGCTCAAGTGCTGCTCACATTGCCCTACTCCTTTTCCCAGTTGGGGATGACGTCCGGCATCGCCTTCCAGCTCTTCTACGCCCTATTGGGGACATGGACCGCCTACCTCATTACTGCACTCTATGTCGAGTTTCGCTCTAGGAAAGAACGCCAAAAACTTCATTTCCGTCATCATGTCATTCAGGTATACATTATGAGAAATTTACTTAAATAGCACTAAAAATAATGATTTTCCCTAAATAATATCATATGTGTTTTTTCTCAATGTAGTACTTTTAGTCATTATTTATTAGTCATTATTCAAGTAAATGTTCGACATTATTTCTTCTTTCGGACATTATTAAGTGCTATTTAGGAAATAAAACAGCTTAAATGTTATTTAGAAAAATGACTTAAGTTTTAGTGCTATTTAATTTAATGCAAATATTTCATACTCCCTCCGTCCCAAAAAGATTTACACGTTTCAAAAAAATTGCGTCTCATAATCCCTTACCCATTTCTATTAAAAAACCACTTTTACCCCTTACTTTTTCAAACCCTACCTATCACATCATACCTTTTTCCTAATAATCTACAAATCACATCCTACTTTTACCCATCACATCAAGGGTATTTTTGGAAAGTCAACACAAAATTATCTCTCCCTGAATTTCAACTTTAGTCAAAATGGGTAACACTTTATGGGACGGAGGGAGTATATTATATAGCGGGTTCCATGATATTGGAACCTAATGTCATGGGATAACCTGAGACTGCTATGGTGTCCTTTTCGTAAATTTGACGATTTTTATCCCGGGTAAACCCTCATCCCACTCCGAACCAAACACACCATTAACCTCCTTCAATTGCACCCCCAAGTTTATTTGATTTTGGGTTCAAAATTTTGACTCCAAAATCAAATAAACTTGGGAGAGGTAATTGAAGGAGGTGGGGGTGTTCGGGTCTAGGCGGGGTGAGGGGTTTACCAGAAGTTTAGGAAGGGTAGAAATCGTACGTCAATTTTTTGAACGGGGTAATGTAGCGACTCTCAATCATTCATGTATGAGATTCTAATGTGAGGAAAACTTTGTTGAATTTAATTGAAACTGCATTAAATAGGGTGTATTTTTATATGCATGTATAGTGGTTTGAAGTGTTGGATGGGCTGCTGGGAAAGCATTGGAGAAACGTGGGGTTGGCCTTTAACTGCACATTTCTTCTCTTTGGATCTGTTATTCAGCTCATCGCCTGTGCTAGGTACGTACTACATACTCCGTACGAGTTTCCCTCTTTCATTTTTGAGTCCATTCCAATTTTCTTTTTTTAATGATCGATCCAGAAATTTGTGGTAAAAGTTTATAAATTTGACTATGATTCATTTAAAAAAATAAATGTAATAATAATGGGTAAAATGGAACATAATTTGAAATTGGATGGCATTCATGGATGTGGATGCGCAGCAACATATATTACATAAACGACAAGGTAGAGAAGAGGAGTTGGACGTACATATTTGGAGCGTGCTGTGCCACCACAGTGTTCATCCCTTCCTTCCGCAACTATCGGATTTGGTCTTTTCTTGGCCTCTTGATGACCACTTACACTGCTTGGTACCTCGCCATCGCTTCCCTCCTCCATGGCCCCGTACGTGTCCATGCATATTAACATTAGAGACCGTGAAAAGTCAAATGAGAAAAACATACATTACAAACTTAAACGTAGATTTATATATGTTTTGACAGGTGGAAGGAGTGAAGCACTCAGGGCCAACCAAAGTGGTTCTATACTTCACAGGAGCAACCAACATTCTTTACACCTTTGGAGGACATGCCGTTACCGTGTAAGCTAAGCCCCCTATACACCACATATATATGTGCCTGCATTAATCTCTCCCATGTTAAGTTTCCTTTTCCATCCGTATGTATATAACTGATAGGGAGATAATGGACGCAATGTGGAAGCCGCAGAAGTTCAAAGCTATCTACGCGTGGGCAACGTTGTACGTCTTGACACTGACACTGCCATCTGCAGCCGCAGTCTACTGGGCATTCGGAGACTTGCTTCTGGACCACTCCAACGCCTTCTCCCTCCTCCCCAGAACCCCCTTCCGTGACATCGCCGTCATCCTCATGCTCATCCACCAGTTCATCACCTTCGGATTCGCGTCAACCCCTCTCTACATCGTTTGGGAGAAGGCTGTCGGCATCCACGGCTCCCATTGCAGCCTCTGGAAGAGGGCCCTCTCTAGATTACCGGTGGTCGTCCCCATCTGGTTTCTTGCCCTCGTCTTCCCTTTCTTTGGCCCCATCAACTCAACCGTCGGGTCCCTTCTGGTTAGCTTCACTGTCTACATCATCCCCTCTCTCGCCCACATGTTCACCTTCTGGTCACCTTTGGCCCGCGAGGTAATATTTTAAGGGAATTTACTTAAATAGCACCCTATAATCTTTTTTCTTTTTAATATTGCTTGTTTTGGAATGATGCATGGTCGGGATATGCAGAATGCGGTGGAGCAGCCGCCAAAGTGGTTGGGGAGATGGGCGGGGGCGTATACGATAAACATCTTTGTGGTGGCGTGGGTGGCGATTGTAGGGTTCGGGTTCGGCGGGTGGGCAAGCGTGCTCAACTTCATACACCAGATTGACACCTTTGGACTCTTCACCAAATGCTACCAATGCCCTCTCCCGCCGCCGCCTCACCAGCTTCTCAACGCCACCACTTCTCTGGCGCCAACCCCTTAGGCCGCCCCTTCGATGGCTTCATCTGATCGATCTAATCTGATGAAGAAGCTATAAACGAGAGAGAGTTTCATTTTGTAAGGTTTTGGTCAAGTACTTTACCACAGTAGAAGCAACCGCATTAAGCTTTCATATTGTGAACCTAATGAAATTAGTTTCATACTCTACCATCAATTAGCATCAAACAGACTTTTTTGAACATTTTATTTATCTAAAAAGTGGTAGGCCATTACTAGAAGTTTAATTAATTACTAAGAAAGTTAGATTCACATGTACTTTGTGAAAATTTCACTTTGTTTATTTCTAAGTAAAGTTTGAAATCCCTTTCATTCTAATGAGTAAAGTTTGGAATATACCCAAACGTACGCCAAACATTTCAAATACACCCTCCTTCCAAGTTGAAACCTCTCGTTTTGACTTGGCACGGTTTTTAATGTGGAATGAAAAAGTGTTTGACTTTCCAGTTTCACCCTTCATTTTTTCTCCTTCTCCCCACCGTATCTTTTATGGAGTAGTTTTCTTCTTCTTCTTCCATCTGAACCCACCCCACCTCCCCTCTTCTCCTGCTTCACTTTGCTCTCCCCTTCTAATTTTTCTTTTTTTTCACAGGCCATATCCCCTTTATTCTTAACCCCCTTCTTCTTCTTTAACCTTAGCTTATTAAAAAAACATCAAAATCTAAATTTCAGATCTAAAAAAATTGAAGAAATAAAATTCAAATATAGAAAATTGAAGAGCAACGAACAATCAATTGGATTTGGTATATCGGACGTGTTCTTGAAGGTGAGAGAGAACCGGAGTTTAAAACATTGTCAGTGACCCTCCTTGTAGAAGGCGACGCCGATGTGCGAGAGAGAAGATAACTTGAGGCTCTACCGATATATCTGGATCTGGTGAACACTAAGTCGCCATCAGTTTGGATCGTCATTTTTTTCAGATCTGGGTTGGTTCTGCCATTGATCGCCGTCAGGTCACCTCTGAGTCGCCATCATGTTGCCGACGATAGCCACAAGTCGTCGTTGTTCATCGCTCCTTCGCCGCCTCTGCTTTACGTTGCACGCCGATCAGAAACCAGAGCCCCGACGTTGTGTTAAGACCTTCGTCGGTGACTCTTCTTTCGCAGGCTCTCGCTGCTTTGTCGAAGAAAATGGGGAAGGGGGAGTAATTGGGTATTGTCTTGGAAGGCAAAAGAGTCGTTTAGCTTTAATTTCATTTCCATTTTAGGAAATGAGAAGAAAGAAGTGGGACAGCCCAAAAAGGAAAGTGAGAAGAAAGATATTGGACGCAATTACTTTTCTTAAAATATTCCAGCTTTCTCGTACTTTTTATATGTATATACCGAGTATAAAACATTTCAATTTTGTCTAAATGGACGCAATTACTTTTCTTAAATTTATCCAAATCTACCTCAACTACCTTCTATGCTCTACACATTTTAACATTTCTCGAACCCAACTTATTTCAATTGTCTTTGTTTCCTATTAATCAAACTTCTATATCTGCTCTTTCAAAACTAGAATATGAGTTATTTAGTGGAATTTATATCTGTTAAGTTTTATACTGTCGCTCAAAGCAATGTAAGAAAACAGCACATTTCACATATTACATGTACAAACGCATAGCCGCATAGGATACAAGAATAACATTAAGTAATTTACCTAAATAGGACTAAAACATAATGACTTTCCCAATATAGGACCATATGTTTTTATTTCTCAATGTAGGACCTTTGGTCATTATTATCTAGTCATTATTCAAGTAAATGTCCATCATTACTGGGCATTATTCCTTCCGCTAAGGCATTATTAAGTCTTATTTAGGGAATAAAAAAGTTTAAATCTTAGATTAGAAAAGTCATTATGTTTTAGTTCTATTTAGTGCAAATTTCACTAACATTATTATTGATTGTTTTATTGTTATAAACACTTTTATTGTTATATAAACACATACGTACAAAAGCAATAACAAATTAATTAACCAATAATAATCCAAATCCCAAAAGAAATCCCAAAAGAAATCATGAGACGACATTGCCTTGGATCCTGGCGCTGGTGAGGCCAACGCAGGCGTCCACAAAGTCATCGTCGATGAAATCAGTCGACAATATCTGCAGCTTATCGGCGTGCCCCTCCGACACGCACCGTTTGATGAACAGTCTCCCGTACGGCCGGATCCTCTTCGTCACCGGTTTCACACACAGCACCGGGTTGTCCGCCTGAGGCGTCACCGTGTTCTCCACCCTGTAGAAGTATTTCCGGGACCCCACCGCCGGCTGCTCGCTCAGATGCTTCATGTTGCTCTCGAATTTCTTCTCCGGCAAGTCCGTGTCGATCCAGTTGTCCTTCAGGTAGCCGGAGCTCCACAGCGCTCCTCCCGGCGGCCCTGCTTTGTGACCGCTTTTCTTCCTGGGCTTCCAAACGCAGATCACCCTCTTCGGGAGTACCTCCGCGATCGTCTTCCCGAAGAGGCGGTCGTCCTGTGGGATGAGGTGTTCCCCCAGCTGCTCCTCCAGGTACTTGTCGAAATCGGGCGGGTCTTCGTGCCCGAACTCCGTCCGGATCTCCAGGATTATGATCTCGGATCGGGTCTCGGACAGGAACTTCTTGACGTCGCTGATGACGACGTCGACGCCGTAGGTGGTGAGGATGCCGTGGCACACTCTCCGGTCCTCCTGGACCCGGATGTCGAGAACCCTGGCGCCGGTTGCCAGCTGGCGGTAGATTGAGAGGGATTGGCATTGGGCGAAGGGGCGAGAAATCAGGGGAATTCCGATCTTGTTGGTGGCGGAATCGTGGGTGCCCGGCCATACGATCTGGTTGACCCGGAGCTTGGACGGGTCGAGGCCGGCCATCCAGTTCTTGCGATCGGGCGGACGGTAATCGGAACCGGGGAAATCATTCCCGTCCTTGAGCTGGAGATCTTTCAAGTATTTCTTCTGGGCGTGAATAGATTTACGCCGTTCGACTTGTTTGGAGCATTGACCACCCATCCCCACGCCGTCGCCGCCGCCGGCCTCTATTATTACTCACTACTACTACGACTAATTCTTCGTCTTCTTCTTCTTGTTTCTCGGCCTCCCCTGTTTGGGTTTTAGTGTAGGATTGCTGTTGCTTCCTTATCAGACGTACTATCCTTTATTTACGAATTTAAACCAGTGGAAAAAGTTTTTTTTTTGAAGGATGAAAGTTGTCTTTAGTCCATTAATTAAATACGGAGTAATTAACTAATGGATGTTTTGGAACATGGATTTGGATTTAAAATCCGGATTTGGCTTAAATTCCATATTTGAGAAACTTAAGCATTTTGAATTTGGATTTGAATCAAATTCTTTATATTCAAAACCAAGCTTAATTTGAAATCCATGCACCTCTCCTTGTCATTTGAAATTCAAAATTTCAAATTTTGAAATTGAAATACATGAATTGAAATGAAATGATAGATGCCAAACACTACCTAACATTATTCACAAACGTAATTGGCACACATTTGCGAGGGTGGAAAGGAAATGGACATGCGTTTGTTGTTTAGGTTGGCGTGGGACCAAATCCATTGGTGATTGGTACCGAGTCAGCATCAACAATAATTAATTATTGGATCCTTAATTATTTTATCCCCTACCAAGTCAGCACCTAAAGTACATGCTTGATGGGCTATTCGGCCAGTAGTTTAGGCCCAGTCCAATATCTCTTAATCCATGAGTCAAAGCCCTATGGGGTCCGCCTTAGTTCACTCGAGGCCCGACAATACCAGGGAAAAACTCACCAGCTTTGGGCCGGCCCGCTAGTCCAGTCATTTACATAATTGACTGTGTCTAATTGCGGACGGGATAGGATTGTTTCGCTTAGCGTCAATGGCAGAGAGAAATCATGTCCCGATTGAATTGCCCTCTTGGTCACTTCCCATGTATACGTTTGAGTAATGTAGCTATAATTCCTACAAATGAAGGCATAAGCCATTGTAATCCTTAACCTGAATATAGCAAATCAGAATATAGCAAATTCAAAATGCTAACGCTAATCTCTAACGCTAATGTCAAACGAGACTTCTATTAGACAGATTTTAACATAGGTACGTACTCTATCCATTTTTGAGGATTTGTGTTGTTTTCTACTCCCTCCGTCCGGATTTTAAGTTCCCAGTCTATGCTTTTTTCCGTCTGGAAATAAAGTTCCGAGTCTACGTTTTTATCAACACTCTTCCAAAAATACCCTTTTTTCTTCTCCTCCATTTCTTCTACTCAATCACCCCTACCCTTTTCATTTCTCTCACACGGTTCAACCACTCCCTCCCCCATCTTTTTTATTTTCTTCTCTCTTATTCTTTCTCTCTCTTCCCCCTCCCCTTCTTTTTCTTTCTCCTGGTTTGTTTTGTTCTTCAGTCTTCACTTCTTCTCCTTCGTTTCTTCCTCTCTTTTTTCATNATACTCCCTCCGTCCGGATTTTAAGTTCCCAGTCTATGCTTTTTTCCGTCTGGAAATAAAGTTCCGAGTCTACGTTTTTATCAACACTCTTCCAAAAATACCCTTTTTTCTTCTCCTCCATTTCTTCTACTCAATCACCCCTACCCTTTTCATTTCTCTCACACGGTTCAACCACTCCCTCCCCCATCTTTTTTATTTTCTTCTCTCTTATTCTTTCTCTCTCTTCCCCCTCCCCTTCTTTTTCTTTCTCCTGGTTTGTTTTGTTCTTCAGTCTTCACTTCTTCTCCTTCGTTTCTTCCTCTCTTTTTTCATATCTCTCTCTCTCTGTCTCTTTCTCCTTCTCCTTCTCCTTCGTTTTCTTCTTCTTCTCATCTTCAACCTCCTTCTATTTCTTTCGTCTTCCCTCAAATATCGCCTTTGTCCCTATTTTTTCTTCTTCTTCTAGATCTGTGTTAGATCTGTAGGGCTAGCTGAAATTGTGAATCAGGCAATGATCGTGGGAGCTAGATCCAATAGATCTATACTAGATCTTTTTCTTCTCGTGGGGCGGGGGTGGGCTGGACAGAGATGGCGGTGGGCGGCGGTGGGTTGGGCAGAGATGGTGGTGGGCGGCGGTGGGTTGGGCAGACATGGTGGTGGGCAGCGGTGGGTTGTGCAAACATGGTGGTGGGCGGCTGTGGGCTGGGCAGGGATGGAGAATTGATGATATCTGTAAGGGTATTTTAGACATTTCATTGTTAGAGTCAAGCAAAAGTCAAATCGGGAACTTAAAATCCGGACGGAGGGAGTATTTAATTTATGCAGTCAAACAACATTGATCTTTAGTCCACAATTAAATAAAAGTTACAAAGCACATTAATTAGATAATATCATATTTTGTGAATATTTTATGAAATAAATTAAATCTTTGGGTGTTGCTAAAATAAAATTAATAATTTCACCTTTTATTTTCAAAATTGTAATTTCAAAATTAAAATTAATAATGTAATTGAAAAAAAGGAGACTTTACTACAAATTATCTCTTTTTTAATTATTTAAAGTAAAACAAACATTTCTAAAGAAACATGTTAGCTAGGTTTCGTTAACTTCTTAACGAAGATCCAAAACTTCTAAACATATAAAAATATAGGAGAAAAAAGTGAGATTATTTTTTTTAGAGAGATGTAGGATAATTAGGATTATTTCACATAATTAACCAATATTTAAAAAAAAAACAGAAAGATGGAGAAATGGCCTAATAGGATCGTAAGATTAAAATAATATATTTGGACCAATAGGAAAAGAGTATTAAAATATGATAATCCAACCAAGCACACATCCCGACCGTCCATTTGATTTCTAAAGAAACACAAATTGCCACACCCTCAACTGTTGGATCATCCCATCTTAACCGCCTTTGCCTCTATAAATATAGAAATTTGGCAAGCCCCAACCATCCATCCCTCACAATTCAAAATCAAACTTCATTCCACAGCTTTAATTTCTTCTTCTTCTTCTTAATCTTCAGATTTCTCTCCAGGTCGGTGGCTCTTCTTGTTTTTTTCTATAATCTATCCCTTAGGTTTCTCATCATCTTGCATATAATATCATAGAATTCATGCATATATAGTTGATCTATCGAGTTTATATTTAACGTTGTTTGTTGTTATTCACTTCATCGTTACATATGATTAATTAGGGTTTTGATGCTTTATCTAATTGAATTGCAGCGGCGGCTAGGTAGAGATGGCACGCACCAAACAAACTGCACGTAAATCTCACGGCGGAAAGGCTCCGAGGAAGCAACTTGCTACCATTGTACGTATATGCATGCATAGTATTCATAATTATTAGACTAGTGCCCATTTTTAATTAACTAAATCATCTTCATCATCATCTTCTACTTCTTCTTTCAATCAAGAAATTAAACTTAACGACAAAACTAATAATGGTTCTGTGTTTTTGGGTTCCCATTTATTATCTGATGAAAAAAATATAATAGGCTGCACGGAAGACGACGCCGCATGCAGGAGGGGTGAAGAAGCCGCACAGGTACAGGCCGGGAACGGTGGCGCTGAGAGAGATAAGGAAGTACCAGAAGAGCACAGAGCTTCTGATCAGGAAGCTCCCCTTCCAGAGGCTCGTCCGGGAAGTTGCCCAAGACTTCAAGACGGACCTCCGCTTCCAGAGTCACGCCGTGTTGGCCCTTCAGGAGGCCGCCGAGGCGTACCTTGTCGGCCTCTTTGAGGACACCAACCTCTGCGCCATCCACGCCAAGCGCGTCACCATCATGCCCAAAGACGTCCAGCTCGCCAGGCGAATCCGCGGCGAGAGGGCTTAGCTTTGATGATGATGATGATCATCCCATGGTGGTGAATTGTTGACGATGGAATAAAGATCACTGCTTGTTAATTTCATTTCTAGCACAATCAACATAAGTTTAAGGTTATGATTTTCAGTTTCTGTTACTAGCTAGGTGGACGAATCAGATGAAATTTATATGAATTGAATCTGATGCAACTATAATTATAATAATATGGCACTCCAATATGTTTTGGTGTTCTTCTTTTCTCAACACTCTACTTCAATTCGTGAATGTTTGATAAGAATTATCTAGCACATTCGTTCTGAACATACAAGATTATACTTTCTTCCGTCATGTTCTCATTTTGATTTTTAAAAAAATTAATGGAGAGATTTTTGTATTGACTTTTCAAAAATACTCTTGATGTGATAGATATATTATTAAAAATGTATAATGTAATGGTAAAAGTAATCTTTTAATAGAAATGAGAAAAATTTTATGGGACAAGAAAAAAAGAAAATTTTTTTTGGAACGGGAAGTGGTACTCCGTATTAATTTTCTTCGTCTAAGCTACGTGGCCGAATACGATAAGTCGAGTTTAGAAATTAGGAGGGAAAGAATTTGTAAAGAGAGATTTAGTACGAAAATACTGATTGCTCCTTTAAGGCCGAGCTGAGGATAAGTATTTATAGACGAGAAGGGCTTTAATTTTGGTGCGCAAGCCCATACTTTTAATGCAAAAGCCACACATCTAAATGACCCGACCCAACATGCTACAAAGTATCTTACTTTTGGTGCGCAAGCCCTATAATGGAAAAGGTAATATTCAAACAGTCATGCATGCACACTTTTGAATATTCTCGGTCATTTTAAAATTTATTTCTTACTATATAAGTTTATATTCATTCTCTTTTTTCTAGAGGAAATAAGGTGGCATTTGTTTCTGATGAATTTGATTTTACAATGAATATAAACTTTTTACTTCATAATTAAAAGATTTCTAGGCCTAATGAACAATACTGTCTCGGTCCAAGAAAAACTCCTAGTCACCTTTTACATGTCAGATTAATTCTACCTTATTTATACATTTTAATTGATAATTTGATAAAATAAAAAAAACCTTGTTATCACTTATTTTGTAAAACTTTTAATGTAGTTGTTAAATACATACGAATAATTTTTTTGAGTTCTACATCAAATTTTATTTATATTGATTGAAAAATAATTTCAATCAAGCATCATAAACCATATAAGAGTCTTATTAAATCAAACATCGTAAATCAAATAGGAGCCTTATTTCAGAAACCAGCTTTCCGCATCACAAGGTGGGCCACATGATTCTCCGATCTCCTAACAAAATTAAAGCTCAAACTACCAAAATATTCTATAGCTTCTTTAAGACGGCAAAAATTATACACCCTAAAGATGAAAAAAATAGTTCAGTTTTCCTGTTTTTATACATTAAAACAAAAAAAAAAAAATACACTTACACCCTACTCTCAAGGAATAATATAATATAATCAGGACTGGTGTTATATTCTTACCACATTAGAATGTCATGAGAGAAACTTCAAAGCATTTTTTCTCAAATGAAAAGAAAAAGGGGACAAGTGTTGTATTTCTATTACAACTTCACATGATAGCACTAATTAGCCAGCCTCACATAACTATCAGTAATCCTTCTAGTAAATGTCATGTTTCACAAAAAGGGTTGGACTGCATCGCCCGCATTATAGTATATATGTACAAAGAGTCATTGCAGAAAGTCTTCCCCTTGCAGCAATTTGGGATATACAAAAGACACTATCTGTTTTAAGGACTTTATGTGCTCCTTCAGAAACGCATGCCCCTCCGCGGCTGCAAAATCAAGAATAGACAAATCAATGCATGGAGTAGAGAATAAGGAAAGAGGATGCGATTTCTATATCAACGTGATTGAACAAAACATGTAGGATCAGTCAGTTGTACCTCTTAACAGCAAGTTGATTTCCTTGGAGAAGTCTTCCATGTGTCCCAAGACAGGTCTCATTCCACATATTTGGATCACACAAAACTCCAGGTACAACGCCATTACTGTTATCTGTACCAGCAAGACGCACACACCCTGTTCCTCTGGGCTGACACGCTTCAACTTGTTGCCTTCGCACAGTTCAGCAACGATAGATATCCCCTGCTTCTGCAACACGTAATTAATAACGTAATGTGACAACATATAAACATCACTAATTTGACCTAAATAGAATAGAAAAGCATATTTCAAGCTTCACCACCTGCAAACCATGTAGGATATCAGGCATTGGTAATTCTGGAAAATGGGCAAGATCAACATAGCCTACATCTTGTGCCCTTTCAGCAGCCCCCTTAGCTTGTATGCATAAGAACTTAAGAATAAGAAATGTGATCCGGTAGACTTGAACAGCCACGGTGTCAGAAAAATGTGTCTGAGAATCAAGAGTAACAGCTCCATTTGATTGACCTTTGGCTACGATACTGGTCATCGTCCTTGAAGAAATTTCTCGGCTGAGCTCACAATCAAGAGAAGATAGAGCAAACCAACCATTTCTGCTATTGATAAATGATGGCATCTTCTTCCATTCAAACTCGTCCCTAAGGGATGGGTGACACAAGAAAGAGGCACTCTTTGAAGATAATTCCCCATGGTGAAGTGTTCCACGGCTAATGAAAGCCAGTAGATGGATACATCTCTCCCGTAACTCTGACTCCATTTCATTCATGACTTTAATCCATGAATTTTGGTACCTGGCTAGAACACATATCAGAGCAAGTATATTCTCTGTCTCCCTAAGAGCGTACAATGGGGTATGTTTTTTGATGGCAAGAGTTTGTTTCTTCTCAGGATCATCAGAAGAAAAATCAGGAGCACGAAGATAATTAAAAATTGTATTTGCTTTCTCCACAATCAGGTAAGCCATCACATAATCAACAACATTGACTGAACTTTCTCCCAGAGAGTGAATAATAGTTGTTGCAACTGCCAAACTAAGTCCCCATATGGACTGAGGCTTTTCATTGTCCTTAAAAGTGCCTGAAAGAACCCCCTCATTCTGAACAACTGAAAAAGGTCCACCATCAGGAAAGTCAGCTAGTAACTCCCGTAAATATGCGAAAAACCCAACACTCATTAGCATCTCCGCTCCTTCTCTCACACATGCAATTGTTAATAAGAACTTCAATATAATGTGTACATCTGCACAGAAATTTTTATCTACAAGTTTATGGACAACAAGTTGCACTTGGAGATGGTTCTTGATAATAGGGACCCATGTTGCAGGTGTCGAGAAACCTTTAACTACTACATCAATAGTAGTCAGACAGATGGTACAATAATCAGCAACTCCAGCATACTTGCAAAGAATGGGTAACAGTCCCAAACAGACATTCGCAGCCTCTGCTAAGGCTTTACCTGACTCGTTATCAGGTTCAATAAGAGAACTGGAATTCAAAGTGTTGCAACAGGACTTGACTGAAAAAAGAATCAACATAAACAGTTCCTTTTTTGTTGTTGTAAAACTAGTAACTGATGGCCTAGAACTTAATACTTTGAGGCCATGCCCTGATGTTTTCAGTATCAGCAAGAAAGTAGGTAAAGACAATCTTCCATTCATTGATCTGACAAAGTGGAAGAGCATCTGTATTTGAGCTGCAAGGATATCAAAAATATCATTACTGGCATCAGAAATCGAAGCTAGCATGTCTACGGTAGCTTGCAGATATTCACATGTACAGTTGATGCCCGACAGGATTGGTTGCTCAGGAATCTTTCCACCATTTGTGGATCCAAACTGAATTGACTGCAAGAATTGGTAAATATTATAAGAAAAACAGCTTTGATTCCTCATTTCTTTTATCTCATCCAAGAGACCAAAACATAATCATTGACTGTTTAGGCCTAGAAGTCCAGAAAAATATCAAGAAGCAGAAACTTACTTTATCATCAAACATAGAGAGCAGGATTATCAAGGGTTTTATAGCAAGAAGTTTGGATCTAGCCACCAGTGTCATGGAATTGATCTTACGCAACAAGACCAGCAAACCTTCAGCAATTTCTTTAGATGACTCCCAGCCAGAAAAATTCCACATATCTATCCCCATGTCAGCCTCAAGATGGTCAATGTCAAACAAGGTGTCATTGTCTTGTGGGAAAAAACCATCACGCCCTTTGCATCGATAGGTTTGCAAAAACTTAGACCCTTGCAAATACTGTGACAGTTCTTTATATGGTCTATGGCTTATTTCTCTACCATCAAGCTCGCCTTGTATATGATAGAACAGATCATTGACAATCAAATTTTGCAATTCTTCACCTCCACTGGTTAAAAGGGATTAAAAAAGAGGTCAAGTCTTTTTTATAAACTGTATGCTGCATACAAAAATGGTGATATTTACAAAGCACTTATGAATATAGAAGTATCTGACTAATAAAGGGCATGGATAGAAATGTGACTATATGAGTATATGCATAAGTGTACGATTACAGCATAAGTCGCATTAATTTGACAAATAGGTGTGCAAATGTTCTTACTAGCAGTTCCCCTTTATTGGAAATACAGGGAAGTATCAAGACTTAGTCATACACACCTAATACAAGTCGCGTTTCACTATCTACGTATGCTTCCTCTAATGTCATTGATAAATAGGCCATGAGATAATAAGTAGCACACAAAAGGCTGTAAGCAGTATCGTATGGCAACTTCTTTGCAGCAGTAAATGATGATAATGTTCCTTAAAAAAGGATGATAATGTAAAATATGTACCTGTAACCGCGATCTCCATAATATGCCATCAGCTCAGAAAAGGCAGGCAACTTGCACAACTATATAAGTAAACAAGTCAAAGGACAAATTATGAAGTAGAAGCAGCTTCTAAAGGAAAAAATTCTATAAAGAATAGAGGTGAAAAAAACTAGAAACTAAAAATCATGCATGTGCCTAACACAACGATAGCATAACGGCAACAAACCCAGTACAATCCCAAGTCAGTTGGGGTCTAGGGGGTCAAGATGTACGCCTTACGCAACCTTACCCCTATAAAAACAGATAGGCTGCTTCCATTAGACCCTTGATGCATTTCACTTCTCAAAAACTTGATAGAAAATGCTCCTCCCGTCCCAAACCAAAAGGCACACTTTCCAAAATGGGTGTTTCAAGCCAAAAGGCACACTTCTTTATTTGGCATAACCAACCCATTAAAAATAATATAACACCCCTACTTTTTCAATCACTTTTCCTATCCTTTCAATCACTTTTTTCTATTTTTTCAATCACTTACACACTCTCTCCTATTTCAACCCACCCACCCTTATCTTTTTCAATCACTTTCACACTCTCATATTTCAACTACATGTCACATCAGGGGCATATTTGGAAAGGTAACACCCCTTTAAGTCTTAACATTTACCAATCTTTGGGAAGTCAACAAGTTCCTTTTGGCTTGGGACGGATGGAGTAACAAGCAGGAGAGGTTTAATTCTTCATTTTGATCTAGTCAATTAATCTTCCTTTGCTTCTTATTTTCTATGAAGTTTTGGAAATAGGGTATATCCAAATTCTAAGGTAGCCACAAAGAAAGAATTGAACCTTTTGAGACAAGATAGAGATCTTATCAATGAGTGAAACTGACAAACTCCCAGTATTGCCGCCTCTTACTTTAGCCATTAAATGAACAACAAACAAGCTAGCTGCAACCTGCAAGATTCTTTAATCAATTAAAACTCTGGTCTATGAAAAAGTACCCAAACCCAATATAGGAAATGTGGCATTAGGTTCATAACAATATCTCTAGATTATTGCGTATGAAAAGCTCAAGAAGTGTTACTGAAACTATGGCAATTGAAAATCATAGTAAATAATGATGTTTTCCAGCACAATCAGATTTCTTCTGTCCACAGAAGTACCTTGTGTGTTTGTGTGGGTTAATGATATGAGGTGGATGTCAAAACTATGTAGCACATAATCAGCAACACCAATAACCATAATGGTAAATCGTAAATGTATAAGAAATTAAGAATACATAAGAGGTTAAAACAGAGAAATATACATTTATCTGTATGTATTTGTGTAGATTAGCCAATTAAGTCTACAAAGGAAAATGAAAGGTTAGAGCTTAGAATTTGTCTTGGTGTACAGAAATCCCTCTCAAACCATTCAAGTTGGATTGCTTACAAGAAGATAAAAGGAAATCAATGAGGTAGTTGAAATATCTAAGTTTTCTTCAATATCAAATCTTTAAAAATCCCCCCACCAAGATAAGGGAGTTACAATCCTATTAATATAACATGGTTTTGAAAAAGTACCATTCAGCAGTTATGCGGTTTAATTACAATTTGCAAATGAAGAAAAAACCACGTCAGCATCTAGACCACCTAGCGAACATATCATTACTTTACTGTCTAGATCATTTGAAATTATAGAACTACAAAAGAAAACACCCCACCACATAAGCATTCATGATATAGAGTTGAAAAAGAGTGAACAAAAAGAATTAGTTAAAAACCAAGAAATGTCTTTTCCTTAACAGTTGACATATAATCATCACTACACATAACACACCTTCCCATGTAAATTAGAGTGATCATCATATTCAACTGCTACAAATAACTTGATGAGCTTCCCCAATGACGGGCTTGTGAACCATGGCTTAAGAATATCCAATATACTATTTTCAACTTTATCTAATGAAGAACGAACTGTTTTCTCTGTGGAAGCTTGTAGCCATGGAGAAGTTTGCTTCACATGAAAGTCAGCATCTAATGACTTTATGAGTAAGAACATCTCATGAGCCATCAAGTCCAACACACTAGATTGACATTTGTATCTGTAAGCTGCAATGCAAGGGTCAACTTCTAATAGATCTTCAGACTCTTTAATTTGCATGAGAGAATTAGACACTTGTTTCCAGAATTCTGACTTTTTTAACTGCATCAAAATATTTCTATAGTGACCAGCTCCTTGCCACAGTGCCTTCAGGAAGTTCAGCAGATTGTAAAGTAAAACGGGGTTTCTGAAAATTTTATGATAATTTTATATCAGCATATCAACAAGTAGCACCATTCAAACACCAATGTGATGATAAATTTCTGACTTTGTGAATCAAACTGGATGAGATACTGTAGAATGGGGCAAATTTACCTCTCCATAAGTTCTGAAGATCTCTTTACATATAGAGAAATGTTATTTAATATATTAGCATCCTGGGACCATAATTGATCCTGACAGGATTGATCTTTGTCGGTATCACACACTTGAGAACTTTCATTATCACCAAGAGCAATCACAGCAGAAAGAAATGATGTCTGCAGCGAGGAGCATATATCTGAGTTAATTCATCTCATAATAAGTTTACAAATTAGATGCATGATACTGTGAGCAGTAACTCAATAAGGACACAACAGGTGTGCAGTTACTTAGGAGAAAAGTAGAACAAAGAGTGTCTTTGACAAGGAATAGCACAAAAAACTAATATCAACAGGAGTAATGAAAAAACATAGTAAGCAAACATTTTCAAAGAAAAAAAGTACAGACTCTGTCCCGCTATTTGTCCCATATTACCTTTGTGGCCCATCTTGCTATTTTTGCCACATACCATAATTAGCAATTTTAGTGTAGCTTGCATTCCTTCTTAGTTTTTCTTCATGTTTAACATCAATATAAACCACACAAATCCACTTTTCTTAATTTGTGTACCACTACTCCATATCCCTAGAATTGTGGAACGGATGGTGCATTAGAGACTCTTTGATAAGAAACTCATTCAGGAAAACAGATCTCATTTCAGTTCGACCATTTTATTGTACATACGTGTCTGAAAACTATTTGAGGATGCAGCAAATGAAGCAATAAACATACTTGATTTGTTGCAGCAGAAGTTAGCATCTTGAAAGTAGCAACTATTAGATCATCATCTGCACCAGTCTCTTTGCAAAGAATACTACAAATGGCATTCTTAAAATTACGAATCTGCCACAAGCATTTTCAAAAAATTAGCAATGAGAGTGCAGTCACATCAGATTGAATACTTGTACACCAATATAAATTGAAAATGCAACTATACCTGCATTTCATCAAGACCGAAGCATGCATTGCCAAACGCGCAAGAGTTTGAATCATCTCCAGCAAGAAATAATACAGAGAGCAGCTTAGCTGCAGCTACTTGTATCTTCTGAATGAGCAAAACATTTATTAATTTAATGTTTGTCAAATGTGTCAACATTTGACAAAAAGAATGAAGTGTCTATGACAGCTGAAAATACTAATACAACTGGAAAGTAAGCTACAGATTTTTATCAGATTCATAATATGTTAAGATCATGTTGGCACAAGATCATACACAATTCCTGGAGAATGACATTAAGGATATCACTGCTGTAACCACGGGAACAGGTTTTGTTGCAGGTGACATAACTGCTTGAAGAAGTACTTGGTGACTGGGCAAATCCTGAAAACATAGCAGTCCCACATTAGTTGAAACACAATGTGCTACAACAACCCAATAAAATCCAATAAGTGGGGTCTGTGGAGGGTAGGTGTACACAGACCCTAAGCCTGTGTAAAAGGTAGAGAGGTTCTTTCCAAAAGACCAGAAACATAAATTGCTGCTGTACAGCTTTGTTATAAATGATGCTTGACAAATAAATATTTGATAGAAATGCAGAAATTGAATTTTATAGAGAACTCTTAAAATGCTACTAATAGAATCATATCAAACTTTTGTTTACATAATCATTGCTAAATTAAGACATCATGAAAGTATGAAACACTAAACTGATGCTGAGGAACTTCACATTGGACCATTAATAACCATCAAAATGCCATAAATTTCACATGCAAGTGTAAAAAACAACATAACTCACTGTTTTGTAGTGTAAATATTAGAACTAAAACTACATATCCACAAAAATATCATTTACTGGCCTATCTTGACACTGCCACAAAGTATGATTTTTCCCTTCAGAATAAATTCATGATCCAAATATCCAATCAAATACTAACAACAAACCAAGTAAAACCCACCAAAGTAGGGGGTTTGGGGAGGGTATGTGTACCCAAACTCTACCCCTGGTCAAAAGTAGAGAGGTTGTTTCCAAAAAAAACCCCAGCTCGAGCACAGTCATCGTAAGCTAACAAAGAAGACACAAGGCACAAACAAGAAAGTAGAAAAGAGCAAACGAATGGCAAAGAAACATGCAAAGAGACAAGAAGCACCCAAACCACTGCAAGCAACTAGACCCAAAGCACAGAAAGCATAGAAAGACAAGCAAAAACTACCACACAAACCAAGAACCCAGAAGACTAACCAACTAGCCTAGTTATAGATCTTCGGACTATCCTAACTAAGGTCATATATATCCTCGGTAAGAGCTAGAAGTCTTAAGTCATGTCCAATCACCTCCTTCCAACTCTTCCTAGGTCCACACCTTCCCCCATCTCCGCCCACTACTGCAAGCCTCCCACATCTCCTCACAAGGCCTCTGCACTTCATAACTTCATGTGCCCATATCACCTCATCCTAGCTTCCCGCAACTTATCCTCCACAGGTGTCACTCCTATCCGTCCCTGAATAACTTTGTTCTGAAACCAATTCAACATTGCTTGCCCATACATCCACCGCAACATCTGCATCTCTGCCACATGAAGTTGACAAACGTGGGTTTTCTTTAACACCCAGCACTCTGCTCCATAATGCATAGCCAGTTGGACTACACACTACTGAGTGATAGAACTTCCCTTTCATGCTTGCTGATATCTTCTTGTCACAAAGGACACCGGAAGCCAGCCTCCACTGATACAATGAACAACCTCCCCATCCATCTCCTTATTTGCCTGAATGACTAAAACAAGATGCTGAAACTTGACTCTTTTTGGCACTGGGTGAGAATCAACCCTAACTTCCCCCACATCATACTATAACACAATAAAAACCTAAAAGTCTATTTTCAACGGCATTGCAGATGTCCCAAACGATCTTCCCCTTCCATCGACTCTCTTAAGGAACTCACTAAATGAACCCCAAGAAATCACAAAAACAAAGAAGAAAAGGAAAACTTATATGCTGCAAGTCTGCCCCTGACTCTAATAGTGATCCAAAAATATACAATAAGACTTCAATGAGCAACATGGAAGAAGCACTGTATCACAACACTACGATGTTAGTGTCCATATACTAAAACATAACGTACATAAGAAAAGTGATTAAAATGGATTTTTACAAGCATACCTTTGCGAGAAAAGACAGCAAACCAGAAAGAATATCCAAAGTAAACACCATTGAGTGCTGCAATCCTTCAATTTCTACCAGCTCAAAAAGCCGATTCACATAAAGTTTCTACTTGAGGACAAATAAGGGGCAAAAAAAGTTGTTAGAAGTTGATGAAAATCAGGTTATGCCAAGGCATGTTTATCTCTAGACAGTGGGAAAATAAGCAAAAACCAGATTAGAATAAAAACAATACCTCTAAGCCTTCTGCTGTTGTACAAACAAATCGAAAGAGTACACTGTGGATTGAAGAATCAAATAGCAAAATGTCCCTGATCACCTCACCATGCCTTTGACCATGTGATATGGACTTGATGCTATTTTTTATAACCTCAAGTGCCTACAAAAAAAAGTATGGCATGCTAATATAACGTAGGGAAATTCTGTAGTACCCATTGGGTACGATACCCCTCTCTCACACTATTTAATAAAGAAAAAGAAAATTTCCTTCCCCTCTCCCTCTTCAAAGGTGTGGTACCCAGTGGGTACCAGAGAAGAAACATAGAAGTTATTTCAAGTAAACACTGATGAACAATCAAGTTTGAAAGATTAATATTCATGGTTCAACCATCGGACGTCAATTATCATGTACCCTGGTATGCAGAGAGAATCTTCTTGGTGAGTTGAGACAATCAAAGAGTCACCGAGACTTTAGGTACTGTCAGCGCATTAGGATTTCAATTATTACTGAGAAGAAGAAAGAATTCATCAATGAGATGTNGGAATTAAGAAGAGATGGGGCAAGATTATTTGACAAGACTTACGACTATAAGAACGGGGTCTAGGATTTGGGTGGTAGGGTAGATTATGGCTAATGGTTTCCCATGTAAGGGAGTAGTTTTTGTTTTTTTTAACTTGTAGGCATGTGTGTGCACGTCTGCCTGCTCGGATCTTTGTTTTTTCTCTGAGCTCTTTTTGTTTTGAGCTGAGTTTCTCTTCAACCTCTCTATTCTCCCGGTAGGGTTAAGATCTATGTATACCCACCCTCCCCATACCTTACTCTGAGATTCTACACGGTTATTGTTGCTGTGAAGAGCAAAGTCTTAAAGTGTTTGAGACTTATAGAGAAGTCTTGGTAGGCCAAAAACAATTTGGATTGAAGGGGTAAAAGGAAGGGGAGTAGGGGACAATAGAGCGGTAAGGTTTGTTCATGAGAACGAAACTGAACAGCTAGGACATGCCATAGAAGAGTGAAAATGAGAAAGTTGGTAGAAGGCATTGACATCTATGTTATTGGTTCATGTATCCAACCCCATTCATTTGAAATTAAGGCTGGGTGTTTGTTTTGTTGTAGACTTGCTTCCAAAGAAAGAAGAATAGTTTGATTCACCAGTCAATTTAGATTTCATTGGTGTAACACATGGAAGCCACAACACAAAAATCACTCTGTCAAATGGATTTCCTAATGTATTTTGAAAATCATTAGGCATATTAGTTTTAAACTTTTTGCACTGAAAAGGACATTAAAAGCATTTTCAAAACATTGTCTCAAATATCTTGTACAGCTTTCAATTTGCAAAATGTGGGGTCTAGGGATGGTAAAAATTGTAAAATGTCTGCAAATCTTACCTCTACACCTCTACTTCTGTGCAAATTGATTCACATCAGCTGAAATTTTCCTTATAAAGAGCACAGAACATAGAACGTGCACAATATAGACATACAAGAAATGAATAGTACCTTTAGAGACACCTTCCAACGAGCATGCTTCGCCTTATATTTCCAGAACTCATGATTGACAAGGACATACTGAAGAGAGAATACGACAAGAGCAAGAGCCACATCATTTTCTGCTCCAGTCCGTACAAGCTCGGCAGTAAAGCCGAGAACTGCCAAAAAGAACAATCAAAGTCAAATGATAAAACCAAATTGAAGTGGACCACAGATTTGTTTCCTTAAAAGGAAAGAGGAAAAGAATTTTGGGACAACCCAAATAGGAAAGAAGGAAGATAATTACGAGATGTAGGGAGTAATACTGAAGCATTCATACTAGATGTATTAATAATCCCATGGAATAATTAAAAAGATGAGTATCACAGCACATGGAAGCATAGTATTTACTCCATAAATAATATGCTGAAAGTTATTAATGCCCTTCAAAATAATAACTTCCATAGCAACTTGCCTGAAAGAGTCAACTGACAGTCATTTTGATCACAGTCAATCATGAGCATTTTAGCAAGTCGTCCAGAAAGCAGCCATGATCCGCTGGAAAAAAACATTGTATGATGACATTAGGTGCAAAAAGACTCTGTTCAAGAGAATGTGGATGAGTCTACAAACAAATCCGCATGTCTGTTGCTCAAAAATATGGTGGCATTAACAGCAGAGACAATGACATCAGAACAACTTCTACGGTTACATGGTTAAATCGGAAGATCAAGTTAACATTAGGCAACAGTAGAAGATAATGACAATGCCAAAAGGAAGAGATATTAATAGACCCAAGATTAAGATCATAAATGCATCCTATAGTATACTCTCATTACAGACTAGCATATGAATTTATGAGCAACATCACAGAGTGGGCATCAACTCTATTAGGATTAGATATTGTTCAGATCACCTTGACAATCCATTTGTACCAACTTCAAATGGGTTGGTTTTAAAAGCTACATCAAATATATTAGTCTTCACTGCCATTGTAGTGACTCGATATGGTGAACTGCATATGAAAAGAAAGTGTTACTGAAATGAATCCACAATCAATCAGAATAGTCAAAATAAAATAGTCAGAAGTATTCAAAGAGAAATTTTAAACTGAGATACTCGGTATAAATCTTATAGCTGTTGTAATATAAAAAGATATGGACAACAGCATATAGTGTTCAATAGTTCATATTGGAACCATAAATAAATTGGCAACAAACTAAGAAAATGTAACACAGTAGGCAATCCTGGACGTCATATCCAATACAGTAAATGAGACTATTTAACACTACAGAAACAGTTAGAAGGGGTAAAGTGAAAATAAAGATAGGCCTATGGACTTACCATTTTAGCATTTTTGTCAGAATATTGACACCCATAGACATCAAATTCGCGCCAGTAGAATTAGCGGGCAAATTCTTGATCAAAGAACAGATAATCTCCGCCACGTTGAAACTGTAATTAAGCTAGAGTCAATAACAGAACATTTTTATCCTATCTTGTATAAAACTAGAACACTTGTAAGCTATTCCATTCAAGATGAAAATGAAACATGACAGCATTTTACCACAAATATCCCTCCATGTGTAAATTTGGTGGACATACTTCATTGGGCAAAGATCTGCCGAATTCCATGAGAGCATAACAGACAGCCTAACAATAAAAGACAATACCATCACAGTGCTTAAGACAACAAAATATAAAAATTGAAAAATCATTAGGGAAATAATGCAAATATCCCTTCATGTCTGCATTTGGTATACATAGTACATTCGACAAAGATCTGTCAAATTCTTTGAGAGCATAACAGACAGCATAACAACCATCACAGTACTCAAGACAAAACAAAACAGAAAAACATAGGGACATAGTGATGGGTCATGAATATCATTTAAAGTGTCTATTTAACCAAAATGAAAAGTTGGATAAGTTTGGAACAAAAGACTAGAATAATGGAATTCAAAATTTGCAACCTTGGTAAGATGATTGTTTCTAGATTTTTCTATGATCCACAGAAAAAACATAGACGCAGCAACAACAACAACAACAACATTACCCCAGTGCCTCAACGGCTCCCGCCCATTGCGGGGTAAGGGGGGTTGGATGTACGCAGTCTGACCCCTATGTTTAAAACATAGACGCAACACATAAATGAAAATGATAAAACGTATAAAAGTCAACTGACAATATAAAAATTGAAAAATCATTAGGGAAATAATGCATATATCCCCTCCAAGTGTGCATTTGGTATACATAGTAAATTCGGCAAAGATCTGTCAAATTCTTTGAGAGCATAACAACCATCACCGTACTCAAGACAAAACAAAACAGAAAAACATAGGGACATAATGATGGGTCATGAATATCATTTAAAGTGTCTATTTAACCAAAATGAAAAGTTGGATAAGTTTGGAACAAAAGACTAGAATAATGGAATTCAAAATTTGCAACCTTGGTAAGATGATTGTTTCTAGATTTTTCTATGATCCACTGAAAAAACATAGACGCAACACATAAATGAAAATGATAAAACGTATAAAAGTCAACCGACACTATGCTGTTAAAATCAATTACCACATTGAAGGAGACCATTCGACTAAGTAAGTCAAGAACAGCATACACTTCATCAGAATTCTCCATGTTTGTCCCCTGTGCCAATTGTAAAAGGAGCACAAGCAACCCAGATTGTGTATACTGCAGCAAAACAGCATAATGAATATATACATTATTTCATCACAGTGCTTAAGGGAAAATAAAGTCAAATGTATAGGACTAACCATATGAAACATGGAACTATGAAAATTTAAATAATACTCCCTCTGTCCAGATGTGTTCGCCTGATTTCATTATTGCATGTGGACCAAGGCAAGGAGAATAAGTGTAAGAAAGGACTAAGTTACCCTTTCTTTGAGACTTTGAGTTCATTAACAAGATCATCAATTTTCTTTTTTCAACTTGTAATCGACAAAGAACAAAGAGGAAATCTTTGAATCAAAAAATCAGAACCAGAGTCTCCATCTTTTAGTTTACAAGTCAAACAAAAAACTGAAAATAGAGTGCAGACCTTTTTTCAAGTTGGGCAGAATGAAAGAACGTCGGAATAGAAAATAACAAGGAAAACTCAGATCCACTGCCTTATTTATAAAATCGAGCACAGATCTGTCTGCCACCATGGCGGATCGAGAGCACTGCCATTGTCGGTGAACCACTATCGTCATAAGGAGATCTGTAGAAATAGAAGTTATTATTATCCTAGTTGTCAGACTAGTTGCCCCAAGTGCCGCAGCCAGAAGAAGAAAGTCAGCCGGAGAGGCTGGTCAGAGATCCAACATCACCAGATGGAAGTACGGCCGATGGAACCATAAGATCCACCGCTTCCAGACAGGAATCCGCTGATTTGAAGCGCCACTGATCTAGGATTCCGGTCCTAGAAGAGAAACTACCATTTCCGTATCTGCGTTCAGCGGAGGACAGAGAACGCCAGCAGCGTTGTATTCCCTGGGACAGAGGTCACATAGCATGAAAACTGGAGGTCTAGAGTTAAAGAAGTCTGCTGGTGTATTGGGGTTTAATTGGGGAGCAAAAGAGTCAATCTGACACTTTCTAATTTACTCTAAGAGGAAAGTAGAAAAAAACATTGGGGGCGATCCAAAAAGGAATACTTGACAAACATATCGCGGCGACCCAAAAAGGAAAACTCAACAAACACATCAGGACGGAGGGAGTATAGCTTAAGACACAAGTTCAGTTTTATTAATGGTGAATGAGGGATTATGGTGGACGGCTGTAATAGACCTCTCTATAAACTGCCATTTACTGTCACTTTTGACAAACTTCATATGGCACTGTCATAGCCATCATTATACAATACAGAACAAGGTAAAAACAAATGAAAATGCTATTCTCGCTTACCTCCCATCTCACGAGGCCAATATTCTTATCAACCATTTTCAAAACATGACCATGTGTTCCACGAGGAATGATTAAACCTTCAACACCGGAAACATGCAATGGATGATTTGTCTTAACACTCTGTGAAGCAGCATCCACAAATGTGTCGTGACTTATCTCAAAAAGAGTTGATAATCCAGTAGACTTATTAAGAAAGTTAAACCTGTTGGGGACAATACTAAATATAAGTGACTTATGCACTTCAGACCATGAAATCATATGATTCCAAGAAGATGTTCTAGAGAAAGCAAAAAGATAAAGCTTCAACGTACACACATTCTGAAGGCCAAGATCCTTCAGAAAGTGCTGATAGCAGCCGCAGCAGTTCAGTAGTCCTAAATGGAAATTCACCCTCCAAATTGCATAGAAGACATCGGATAGGACCATCAACAAAACTATCCTTATCCCAAAACTGGATACAGAGTGACTCCTACATTATACATATATAAGAAAGAATAATATTGTATATGAGAGAGTATTCCTGTAATGGAAGAAAACAAAAATGCATCCAAACTCAAATGCCCAAACCTCGCCTTGATAAATTTTGCAGATTATTTCCAATATAAGTTGCAGGTTACTATCCTCAAGCTGCCACAATGAAAAGGAATAAAAAATACATACACAAATAATAATTGTAATTTTTATGTGCATTATAGCACAAAAGAGTACCTGAAGATTGATCTCATAAGAAGCAATAAATGCTGATACAAATGTTCTTAAGATACTTCGGAACCCAGCAATGGGACCCTATGAAAGAAATATAGCATGTCATGACTTAGCCTAAGCATATATAGAACCAACACTAGATATGGGCTCACATCTAAATACTTCTGTATGTCACTTTGAAGGATTTCAAGGAAATAACTCAAAGATGCAGCTTCAAAAGCTTGGCACGCATAACAAACATGATCAATCTCCTGAAATAGGATGAGTAAAATAAATTTATCCATATGGATTAAAGCACTGGGGCAATACTGCAAGTTAATTACACCACAGAGCATGGCTCAGCATACCTTCAGTGCAATATTTTCCTCCTTATCTGGAAGTGAGGAAACAAGACAAAGAAATACTGCCCACGCAAGTATCAGTGGACCAGTTTCTTTCTTTTCAAATGCATTGAGATCAGATACCACATTATCAATCTCTTGAACATCATTCAAAGAGAAAGCAGCATATCCCTCCCTGAGCAAAAAAAAGAATGAAGTCAATAAAAAAGAAAGCTGACAAATGAATTCCATTTAGGATCTCAATGAAGAAATATTTCAAGTACAATACTACCCTCTAAAAGTTTAAGCCTAGATCTAAAAAAGGGATAAAGCACATGAGAAAAATATGAAGGGGGAAGCAACCACAGTCTGGCCTTCCAGCTGGATTACAAAATCTGATCATTTTTTTCTTTTAATTGACCAATAAATTGTGTTTCTAAATGTAGTTCTCTAACTAAACAAGAATATTCCTTTGGCAGCAAAACAACCTCTGATTTTTTTAGAGGAGGGATACCAACATATTTATCACTAAAAAAGATAGAAAAGATTGGGGGCTAAAGCTTTATAATCCTGTAAAGTGTTAAATAGTCCAATTCTAAAATAATTTAAAGATACAAACACCTCATATTCCTAGAGGTTAAATGGCTTTTCATCCTTCAAGAAAATCAGGACCATGGATAAGTAAAGTAATGAAAAAACAAAAGATAACCTGAAAGGAATTTCATCATGAACCATTTGAAGAAGAGTTTCCAAATTCAGAGTTTCAATAAGAATGAGCAGCAACTGTACTTTGGCATGACAAATTGAAGAAGATGATTCTGTTGATATAGCTAACCTCCCAAAATTATGGGAACCCAAAATGAAACCCTGCAACCAAAAATCAATTTGAAATTGCACAGTATATAACAAAACACAACTATTACATCCACGTCTTGAGAAGTTGTGAATTACCTGATAAATCAAACATAGTTTCCTCCATTGCTTGCCAGTGCATGTGCTAAACTCATAAAATGTAAGAAAAAGAATATCCAAGATTAGGTTATCCTCTGTAAGTATCTCTTCAGCCCATAGAGTGTAAAAATCAATTTCCTGAAAAGCATAGCAAGACTGGTCATCTCATATATTAAAATTGTAAACTAACTCTTATAAAACACGCAATTGTTAACACCAAATCAGAAAAGACAAATATATAGTGATCAAATCGTTGATTGCCATAAAAGAATAAAAAAATACTACATCATTCCCTAAGTATTCTTCTAGTTTGACTTTTTTGAATCAAACTGGATGAACTTTGATCATCAATTAAATAAAATTTATATTGCATATTAGTACAAAAATGATTCCATTAGATTTATCTCGCACATAATTTTCAAAAATTTATTTCAGCAATTTTTAAAATGCGATGCAAATTTAATGCTATGACTAATGATAAAACTCCGTCCAATTTGACTCGAAAAAGAGAAACTTGACAAATACTCTGAGACGGATGGATTATATCTGTAAAAAGCATACTCGGTTCAAAGAACATTGAGAATTGCTCCTCGGAGCCTTTTTTATGGATTAAGTGGTAGAATAATCACCAAGTGAACCATCTCAAGTTTGAACTTCAAGAAGACCATTTAACTTACCATTGACTCTCTAAAGTTCAATGACAGATTGTCTTCTAGTGCATGTACCATTTTAGTCTCTAGTCCATCAGATATTAACTTGTGTGCCTCATCCACAATACCATGATTGTCGTTATGCTTTGTTCCAAAACACACTGCATTAGAGTCACTATAGTTAGCAAGAGGGCAACATCATGAAATTGTCTAAAATTACCATGTGAGACTTAGCATACAACTTATGAAGTGTTAGGATGGCCCTGTGTAATTGGGAATTGGTGTAATTGTGAGTAACTATACCAATTACTTTGTTTAGTTGGTCATGTTATTACAAAGTTGGCACGTAATTGGTGTAATTGAAGGGGTCCAGTTACACATTTCAAATCCGAGGGGGGAGGTCATAATAGGTGTAATTACAATCCTGTGTAATTTGTCCACCCTATTACAATATTAATATTGTAGTTGTTATTATTATTATATCATTATTATTGTTGCTGTTTTTGCCACACACCCATTTTATTAGTATAATAATAAAATTCACATGTTCCCTTTTCCTTTTTAAAAAAAGAATATGTGGCTCATAATGTTTCTCTATCCTCCTAACAAATTCTAACTGAACACTTTTTCCTTTTCAACACATTTCTTAAATTCGTCAAGTCAAACTACTAATTTAGTTTGGGGACAGGGGGAGTACTATTATTGTTGTTGTTGTTGTTGTTATATTTATTCTTTCACCCAAATAATGTTATAAAGTTAACATTATGGTTTTATTTTAAAATGATATGCTTACTGTTAATTAGCACCCACCTGTAATGGTGAGGTGTGTCATGTTCCAGTGTATGTGTGTTTTTATTAATATTCAAAACAAAATCTAAATTAACATCCACTCAAAAGATTGTTTGTTACTCCTAAGTGCTAAATAATACTCCCTCCATCCAACAAAAGTTTTCCCACTTTCCTTTTTCATATGTCCCAAAATAACTGTAACTTTATCTCTTTCCCTTTTAAGGAAAGAATATGTGGTCCAAAACACTTGACTCTCTTTTAAACAAACTCCAACTACTCACTTTTCATTATTCAACATCTTTTCAACACCTTTTATAATCTCCATGAAGTCAATGTGAGCAAATTATTTTGGGAGGGAGTATTTTAAAACTAACATCCGCTCAAATAAATGTTTGTACTATGACAAAAATATTTAAAATCATGCGGTACAAATTTTTAGAGATGAAAGAGGATTAATCAAAACCAAATAATTATTATTTTTATACTATAGACTCCCCAATATTATTATAATTATTCTAAAATCATTGTAACTTTTATCATATTTTTTTGTTCTACATTTTTACTTTTGATATCATTTATTATTCATGAAATGAGTTAATAATTTTTGTTTTAATTCTTAGAATCACAAATATACTCCCTGTTTAGGAAAGTTCATCCCAAATCCCTTTTTTTGTTCGGAAAAGATCTTCCCATTACTATTTTAAACATTTGAAATACCACAACTACCCTCACGGCCTCACTTTCCTCATTTATTACACCCCACCCACCTCAATTAACATACTCCATCCGCTTTCATTAAGGGTAAAATCATACTAACTACGACCCTGAGTGTTCGTCTTTTCACAGTCAAAATGAAAACTTTGAACACCAATTAAATAAAACTGATACTCCCTCCGTCCGCCTAAGATCTTCTCATTTTGACTTTGTGTGGTTTTTAAGGAGTGTTGAAAAAAGGTGAAAGTTTACCATAATACCCTTAATGAAAATGGGTGGAGTGTATTAAATAAGGTGGGCAAGGTGTAATAAATAAAGTAAGTGAGGGTAGTTGTGGTATTTTAATTGTTAAAAATGAAATGAGAAGATCTATTGTGGACAAAGAAAAAGGGCTATTGGGAAGATCTATGGGGGACGGAGGGAGTATTAGATATTGATACAAAATAATTTTATTAGATCTGTTTTATAAAATCTTTTCGAAATATACCAATAACTTTTATTTAAGTATAGGTCAAACGTTGAAAGTAGTTAACTGCAAAAAGTCAAAACTAGACAAATACTCAAGGACATGTAGTTATTAATGTGTTGCCTAGGCGACGTCTAGGCGTCGCTAAGGCATTATGAGATGGATGCCTCGCCGGATGCTTAGCTTGAAAACACCTAAGGTGATGCGGCGCTTTCCCAAGCATTGCCTTAGGGTTGCCTCTCGCCTAATCTCGCGTGGAAACACCTAAGGCGATGAGGAACTCTATTTTTTTTAAAAAGTAACATGTGTTATGGGTCATTCATTTTTCTTTATACACACACACAAACACTATATATATATATATACACATACATATATACATATATGTGTGTGTGTGTATACACATGTATGTATATTGCCATACTCCACTCGCCTAATTGACTCCTAGCCGGACACCAAATCATCTAGGTGACTTAAAGCAGAAGGTACTTTGGCATTTGGCCTCGCCTAGTCGCTGTAACAACTTTGGGTAAAATAGACATTTACATTATTTTTCAACTCTCCTAAAAATGCATTAAAAGTCAATTTGGGAAGATCATCCCGGACAGTGGGAGTACCAATTACACTCTAGTGCTTCCAAACACATTTTGAGTAATTACTAATTACATAGTAATTACTCCGTACAATGCAACTACCCAACAATCTTGTGTAATGACACACCCATGTTATAACAACACCATAGTGATTTCAACCCTAGTAATTATACATTAGTATCCAAACACACACTTACTGTTAGTCAAAAGTTGGATGGCAAGCACTCAACCATGTGGGTGTAAAGGTGGATGGGGGACAAGATCGCCCAATCAATGTGACCATGCAGTCACAAGTTTATCATCTCTCCCCTAATACCCACAAAAAACTACTTAATGAGTTTTAAGCCGAACGAACCTTCATTTTCCTCACGAAATGGAAATGATTTACCAAATAAGCACAATGCAATTTATCAATCAGTCTATGTGATAGAAACTGAAAAATAATGTTACGCAATAAAAATACGTTTGAACAGACAATTTTCTATACATAGAGAACTAGGATGGAATAAAAAGGCTATGAAAATTTAAATAAAAAAGTATAGCTTATCAGGTGGAAGACTTACAAGCATGCATAAGGATCTGTCTTGTGCACTTCAATAAGCATTGCCGCTCAACGTAGTAGTGAAGAATAATCTTGACGGTGAAAGTAAAGAAATGTCAAAGAGACCGTTGCAGATTCATCATTGAATGAAAAGAAGGCATGCATGCGGTGTGTGTAACTTAGGATGCTATTACATCTCATCTCTACTTTCCTATTTTCACAATTCTCGAGGCTTTCATTGTCCAATGAAAATTAGAAAACATATTCAACAGTACTTCATTTCGAAGTTAGTTCCCAAGCCACAAATTGAAAAGTGCATACATCAACATTATTTTCCAAAATGAAATTAATAAAAAGCGCATCCAATACAATTATACTACTACGAATGCTAGTTGTATCATTAATTTTCTGCAACTTCTAAAGTTGCCATTCATACTACAGGAAACTCATTAAAAGGGATTTGATGAAGAATATTCATACAAACTGTGAGGCTAAAATTAAAATAAAAAAATTAAAAATGAGGACTTGTCACTAATGAAAAATTTAAAACCTGAACCACACAACAATGCCATAACAGATGAAATGGTTGGATATAGTGGATTACATAGTTTATTCCAAATTTTGAAAATGGATGGGCTAGCAGTGGCAGGGGCCATGGATTACATGGTTTATTCCAAATTTTGTTTCAGCCTGACCACACAGTTTGTATGAATGTTTTCAATATTGCAACATATGTGGATACTGCAGTGAAGTAGTTAGGTAGCAGGGGATTTCCTATGTTTTCTATTTTCATTTTTTTGAAGTTAAAATATGAAGTGATTATTTTAACACACCTTCGATAAATCTACAGAATTATCATAGCACTTTACATTGATATCACACATATAATTCATTAAAGATAGTTGGTAACTGTTACAACACAAGTGATTTCAACATCCTTATATGTAATTGGAAAATATAATGCAGAAGGCATGACCCAGGAAACGAGCAAATTAGAAAGAAACCCATATCATGTCAATAAACATTGATAAGGCATAAAAAGAAATATGGCCAAGCAGAGGTGGATAGATGCTACTAACCAAATGAGGTAGCTCGTGGATTGGAGCGTCTCTGGCCAGAGTGTTCTGACTGAGTGATCTTTCAACAATAATGTATGACTGCACTTCATCCAGACACTAGAAAAAACAAATGTTGCCTCTTTTCAGAAAAGAATAACATAAAAAACAACAATATCAATAACAATAAGCTCATTATAAGCATTCAAAGTAGCATGAGAGATTCTGCCTTATGCACATTCCATATTAAAAAGGCCTACAGCATAACTTATTAGAAGGCAACAAGTTATAGCTTGAACTAACAGGCTAGATATTCTATGAAAATTCAAATGCTAAGCATTACAAAAATTTCAATTTAGAATGATTACCAGAATAGAACTAATTTGTAGGGCTGTTTCTTTGAGTTCCGGACGTATTTTAATCTGTCGAGAATCAATTTTTAATACACTTCCATCCAAGGCATCTCTTGATTTCTGATTAGGGGACTTGAACAATGAATTCGTATCAAGGAGCCACGCATGATTGTCCTTCAACTTCCTTTCCTAAATTTAGAAAATAGAAAACGTCAAATTCGAAGTTTGCGCATAACATTTCCGCCGC